CAAGCTCTGCCGCGCCGGCGCTGAGGGCTACGCCAACGAGTACTTTGGAGCCCACGGCGGTCTGGAGCAGGCCAGGATCCGTGCCACCGAGCCTCTGAGCGAGGAGAACCCAGTGCGCAGCTCCGATCTATTCCTTGCCATCCAGGCTGTTGGCACGACCTCAGACTCGGCCCTGTTTGCGCGAACCGCGGCTGTTGAGAAGGAGAAGGAGGCATCTGCTGTGGCCGATGTGGACGAGGCGGATGAGATGGTCTGCTTCGCCGTCTTCTGCCTGGACCCTGTCCACGAGATTGAGTACTCGGCCATCAGCCAGTCTATCCCCGCAAGGTGGATCCAGTGGTTGGATGCGTCTAACCCGTTGACTCCCGCCAGCGGCGAAGACGGCCAGGCGTCCCTGAACCAGTCGATTCCCGACGAAATCCGTGAGATTGTCGAGGGCGGCGGTGTCGACCCCCGCGAGTGGGTTGCCGAGTGGATCGAGGAGCTTCTTGGCCTTGCTGTTGGCGTTGTTGCTCAGAGATACGTCGCCAGGAGAATGGGCGTTGGTGAGGGCGGCATTGGCAAGGGCAAGAGGCGCATGGATGAGCTCGTCGAGGATGGCGGCGGCGAGGCTGCTCGTGCCGGCCTGATTTGAGATGGCGATTGAGAGCCAGAGTGTATGATTTTATTTGCTTGGGAGTTCGGGTATACCTGTTTTCCTATCCATCAGCCCAACCGGCATTCTGTTTGCTGGTCACAAACTAGAAGCGAAGTTCTACTATTGGGGAACGGTGGCATATGCCTCTTCCCAGGACACATTCTCGGGGTTTGATTTTGAATATCACGGATGTTATCGAGACGACGTATTTCACGACATCTTCAATGGCTTCAAGGGTTTCCCTCTAATGGTCTGGTCTCACCCGGAGATGGGCTTGTCCATTGTGTTTTCGCTCACTGAGAGGGTGTGTTCGAACATGGCCAGTCAATATTGATTATCTGATCTGCCCTGCATGATCCCTCCTGAAGATCGTGGTGCAAATCATGTGGCTAGAGTTTCATGGATACCCCAGCTCCGACTAACACGGTTTGACGTGAACAGGTGTCGCCAGCTGGGTCAGCCATCCTGCCGCCCTTCCCTTCCGTTCCCAGCAAAAGACCCGGTTAGTCTTACATAATCAGGATCTACCCACCGTAAAATCCTGAAGAAAATTTCCACCGATACCTGTTCTTCGTCCACCGAAACCACCATCAACAAGTTTGGCATCGCGCGTCCCGCGCAGCTCAAGTGAGCCTCCACGAGGACAGGCATTAAATTCATTGCCTACGCCTCACTGCTATACAAACCAAGTCTTTCCACCACACATGGGAGCACAAAATACACACAAAACAGCAGCGTCATACCAGTCACTCGCGCCTACACCAAGGCACCGCTACGAGTCCTCGCTTTTGCGAGGGTCTTCTACCCGCGCCGCGTTTTGCGGAGCAGATTTGAAGAGGACGGGGATTTTGCGGGCGGCAGGGACGTCTTCTCGACCTACGGGGCCAGCTTCGGTTGGTCTCGTGGGAAGGGGTGTCGTTCTTGTCGTCTGGTTGAAACCGCTGCCAGAACAAAGGACCATCATAGTCCATGCCCATCTTGTTTCCTACATGGGCGAGGCTCCAGGCGTACCGACATATTATGCGTGAAGCGATGACTTGATCAAGAGTGTTTTCTTGAGTGATTGTGTCCTTGATATCGAATGCGAGGGAAACGCCGCCCGGCAAGATGATGCCGTCCAATCTTTGACGGACCCAGTTCGACGCCGACGCCGCTGATTCGTCGCGCGCGCCGGCCCCGACTTCCCGCCTGCTGGCGCTGAAATGTCACCAGCGAACTTGTCTTGACGTCACTTGGCAGTCAGCCCAAAAACCGCACTTTTCATCAACCAAACACGTACTCACCTTACCCTCCACGTTTCTGCAGTACGTAGCTGCTTTGTTAGCTAGCGTGTGTTCCCTGCCAAGGAAAATAGATGGCTTCCATCCTTCTCGACGTCGCCGTACATCGCGCAACCTTTGCATGTGCTCGTGGTGTTTCTGTGTCTTGAAATACAACCTGACCCCAAGCCCGTCTGATCTCCGACTCTTGTCTTCACGATACCACATCACAATAACAAAACATCCAACATGCCGCCCTCAAAGTTCTCCCACCTCCCCCTCAGCACCTCGGGCCCCATCCCCTGCGCCGTCACGGGCGCCGCCCTGCTCAACACGCCCTACCTCAACAAGGGCACCGCCTTCCCGCACGACGAGCGCCGCGAGTTCAACCTCACCGGCCTGCTCCCGCAGAGCATCCACACGCTGGACCAGCAGCTCAAGCGCGCCTACGAGCAGTACGCCAGCCGCCATGACGACCTCGCCAAGAACACCTTCCTGACCTCCCTGAAAGAGCAGAACGAGGTGCTGTACTACCGCCTGCTGCAGGAGCACCTCCCCGAGATGTTTAGTATCGTGTACACGCCGACTGAAGGCGATGCGATCCAGAACTTTTCGCGGCTGTTTCGGCGGCCAGATGGGTGCTTTTTGAATGTGAATGATGTGGACAGGGTGTATCATGACCTGGCGCAGTGGGGGCGGCCGGAAGACATAGACTACATCGTCGTGACTGGTAATTCCTGACCTGAGACTCGCAAAGGGAGTGTGTTCGCTAACGAAGACGACAGACGGCGAGGAGATCCTCGGGATCGGTGACCAGGGCGTCGGCGGCGTGCTCATCTCCGTCGCCAAGCTCGTCCTCACGACGCTCTGCGCCGGCATCCACCCCAACCGCACGCTGCCCGTGGTCCTGGACTGCGGCACCGACAACCAGGAGCTGCTCGACGACGAGCTGTACCTCGGCCTGCGCCAAAAGCGCGTGCGCGGGCACAAGTACGACCGCTTCGTGGACGAGTTCGTCAAGGCGGCGCGGAGGCTGTATCCGAGGGCCTACATCCACTTTGAGGATTTCGGGTTGACGAACGGTACGTTACTTCCGTTTTGTTGGCTATATGCAGAATCAGGACACTGACGATGTGAACAGCGAGACGCATTTTGGACCAGTACCGCCCGCATATCCCCTGCTTCAACGACGACGTGCAGGGGACGGGCTGCGTCACCCTCGCGGCCATCATGGCGGCGCTGCACGTCAGCAAGCAGAAGCTCTCCGACCTGAAGCTGGTCATTTTCGGGGCCGGGTCGGCGGGCGTGGGAATCGCGGACCAGGTGCGGGATGCGATTGCCGCGGAGGGGGGCATCAGCAAGGAAGACGCCGCCAAGCAGATCTGGTATATCTCCTTTCTTGCTCCAGTCATCACGGGATCAATACTGACCAAGTTCCAGGCTGATTGACAAGCCCGGACTTCTAACCACCTCAAGCGAGCTCTCCTCCGCGCAGAAGGGCTTCGCGCGCGACGCATCTGAATGGAGCGACACCTCCGCCGACCTCCTGACCGTCATCAAGAAGGTGAAACCAAACGTCCTCATCGGCACGTCCACCAAGCCCAAAGCCTTCACCGAGGAAATCGTCCGCGCCATGGCCGCCGGCGTCGAGCGCCCCGTCATCCTTCCCCTCTCCAACCCCACCCGCCTGCACGAGGCCGTGCCTGAGGACATCCTCAACTGGACCGACGGCAAAGCCCTCGTCGCCACGGGCTCGCCGTTCAAGCCCGTCAAAGGCCCCTGGGGCCCGGACGGCAAAGACATCGAGATCGAAGTGGCGGAGTGCAACAACAGCGTCGTGTTCCCCGGCATCGGGCTCGGCGCGGTGCTGTCGCGCGCGCGGCTGGTCACGGACAAGATGCTCGTGGCGGCGGTGGAGGGCGTCGCGGCGCTGAGTCCCGCGCTGGAGGACCAGACGGCGCCGCTGCTGCCGGGGGTGGATGTGGTGAGGGATGTGAGTGTGAGGGTGGCGCGGAACGTGATCAAGGCGGCGGTGGCGGAGGGGGTGGCTACGGAGGAGGGGATTCCCGAGGAGAACGGGGAGTTGGACGAGTGGGTGAGGGAGCAGATGTGGACGGCGGAGTATCGGCCGTTGAAGCTTGTGGGCATGGAGGGGGCGAGCAGGGAGGCGAAGGGGGAGATGGGTGTTGCGGGGAGTTTTAGCAAGCCTGGGAGTTGGTAGACGGTCAGGCGGTTGGAGAAGTCTGGATTTTCGGATCTGATCATTACATTAGTAGACGTTTGAGATCTTTAGCTTAATTGTTGGGTGAACTGAATATCAAGTCGATAAGTTTGCTTGGCGTGGGATTTGAGTACAAAAGCTGTAAGTGATCAACAGGCTGGATTGTAAGGACAATAGTTTTCATCTAATATCTCCGCGAGGCACACGACTGCAGAAAAAGATAATAGTTAAGGAAGAATAGATTACAAAAATCTAGCAGTTACAAAAACCGAAACTGCAGTTCTTCTTTACAATCCATTCGAAAGTCAACTATATATTAAGCCTATAAATAAAATAAAACTAGTAAATAATAAAAGCTGTATAATAATAAGTATCACTAATTATACTACTATTACAGTTTCTATAAAGCATACTACGTTTTCTAGAGTATAGAATAAAATTTCAATTTAAACAGCTTAAATATATTTAATATAGTAGCAGAGAATAATGTTCATAGGTAACTAACTCTAAGCCGTCAAATACGCAATCAATCATATAAGTTGACAAAACTGCTCATCATCACAAGGTCAATTGGAACTTTTCTTAGATATAAGAACTACAATGCCGAAATGAAAATGTCCTCGTCAAGTATCAAAAAAGGAGTCTAAGCGTGAGCCCATTATGCGCTACAGCAGACTCCCTGTACGTTATCATGTCAGCTTTCCTTGTACTCATATGCTAAGTTAGGCAAACATGATCTTCCTCGGAATATTCTTTGACGTGAATTCAATACAAATACATATCCAATTCTTCACCCCTTCTGAACTTATGACTTTCTTTAAGTGCTTTTAAACTAAAGCAAATACATAAGCCTCACCATACACCCAAGTATCAAAAGTATAAAATGTCTGAACTCATGCCCCCAATTCCTCGTATCTTCTTCACCTACATCGAACCACTCCTCTGCCTCTTCAGCGCCCTCCGGCCCCTCCTCAACCCTTCGTCCATCACCGCGCCGCTCACCCCCAGCCCGCGCGAGCCAACCCCGACAGAAACCCTGTGGGCGCTGCAAAACGCCGTGCTGCTCTTCGAGTTTGCCCTGCTCACATGGGTGATCATGTCGTGAAGCAACGACAGGAAGGCTGTGACAGGGTATGTGCTGGTGAGCGCGTTGGTGGACTTTCCGCACTGGGGGTTGCTGGCGGTGACGTTGGACGAGGAGGCGGTGGGGGGCGAGGATGTTGTTTGTCATGCCGTTGGGTACGTTTTTGGTCAAGGTTGGGTATTTGGGGGGTTTGTTTGGGAGGGATCGTGTAGTGAGGAAAAAGGGTTGAGGCATTGAGGTTTAAAGCTTCTTTCGAATTTTGGAAAGTTAACACTGGATTGCAATATCAACGAAATGAAAACTACTACTGACAATGAATAATTAAAAGCTTAAAGGTTAGCGGATGTGTCCCCTTTTTCATCAGGATAACATCAAAACGATGAAGACGAACATTCACACGCACTAAAAATCAAGCAAGCATATTTAACTGATTTGATTCTTTCTATACTTCTACAGCCTACTGCTGCGAGACATCCACCTTACTCCACCAAAACTCAGACTCCTTCCTCGCCCAGGTATCATCATGCAACCTCGCCGGCACGCCCGCCTCGCCCCCAACCAGCTCCTTGTTCTCCTCCCCAAACACCATCGCCTTCGGCGTCCCCTCCGCACTATACCGCTCCCACGCGGGCCTCTCCGGGGCAGACCCCTTCACCGCGTTGGGATCCCCCGTCGCGATGAAGCTCGTAATGTACGCGTTGTACGTCAGGCACAGCTCCTTCTGCGCCGCCGAGATGCCCGTCCGGTTCGGCTCGCACGTCTCGTAGTACATGTTCTCGCCGTGCCGCGCGCGGTCCAGCAGCGAGCTCTCGAGCCCCCACTGGTAGAGGTACACCGGCTCGCTGGTGGCCTTGCTCGCGAGCTCCGCGGTCTGCCGCACGGGGGCGACGTAGGCGTACTGCCCGTACGCGACCTCGAGCCGGCGGTACTGCGCGCCGGTGCCCTCGAGCTGTTCCTCGTACGGCGAGTCCGCGACGGTGAGCGGGTCCGGGTAGAGCGCGTCGATGGTGGCGACGTCGTCGGCGGAGAGGAGCGGGAGGAGGTCGGCGAAGAAGGAGGTGAACTCGTCGGAGCGGGCGACCTTCTTGCTGATGTAGATGGAGCCCTCGTTGCGGTTGAAGCCGGTCATGATGGGGACCTTGCGCCACTTGTTCAGGCGCCAGGACTCCATGGGCGCGCGGGGGATGATGTCGCCGTCGACGACGGGCTGGAAGGCCCAGCGGAGGGAGGGGTTGTACTTGTCGAAGACGGCGATCTGGGCGGCCTGGACGGTCTCGGTGGGGGCGGCGCGGAGGAAGGCGAAGGTGTCGGCGGAGGAGAGGCCGGGCGGGCAGGCGCAGGCGGCGAGGAAGTCGGCGAACTGGGCCTCGTGGATGGGGGCGCTGTAGGGGCGGACGGCGCGGGAGGTGGAGGCGCCGGATTGGAGGATGACTTTGTGGAAGAGGGGGGCGGATTGGCCTTCGTCGTGCATGAGGATGTGGCCGATCTGCCGGGGGAAGGGGTGTTAGTTTCTGGGCGGGAATTGGGGTTTGAAGGAGGGTAGGAGGGGCTTACGGAGTGTGCTCCGGCGGAGATGCCGAAGAGAGTGACGTTGCTGGGGTCACCTCCAAAGGCGGCGATGTTGTCGCGCACCCATTCGAGGAGGAGGAGCTGGTCCTTGAGACCGAGGTTGAGGGCGCCCTGCTCGTAGCTCATCGTCGAGGGAAGGAAGCCGAGAGCGCCGATGCGGTAGTTGAAGGACACGGCGACCAGGTCCTGGCCGGAGTTGGCGAGGAACGAGGGTGTGTTGTGCATCATGGCGGTGCCGCGATTGAATGCGCCGCCGTGGATGTACACGCCGACGGGGAGCAGGTCCTTCTTGCCCGCGCCCTGGGGCCGGAAGACGTTGGCCGTGAGGCAGTCCTCGCTGTACTCGAACTTGGGGCCGCCGGGGAAGAGCTGCTTGCCCGGGGCGACGGCGCCGAACTTGGAGGCGTCGATCGTCGCCGTGGACGGTTCCACCTTCACCGGGGGCCGGAACCGGCGGTCGCCGGTCGGCGGCTGCGCGTACGGGATGCCGCGGAAGGCTTCGATCGGCCGCGGGATGGCCTCCGTCACGACGGTGCCGACCACCGTGCCCTGCGCGATGGTCACCGAGGGATGGTCCTCAACCTTGGAACCCATCTTGGGAAGGGAATGTGTGTGTGTATGTCTTGGATGGGTGTCTCGGTTGGCAAGCAAGGGTGAGAGGTGAGTGGTGAACCGGGGGCTTGGTAAAGCTTGGGGGTGGGTGTGGTTGATGATTAGATCAGGTATCGGCGGATGGATGTACCGGATCGCCGTTGCAGCAGCTATCGCACGGCAGACAGGCCCTCCGAATCGAGTTGACTAGCATTGTTAAATGAGTAGGGAAAGCCGCGACGTTTGGTAGAGAAGTGCATGTTTTCCCGCGGGGATCGGGCGGCCGAGCGATATCGGCTCAAGACGTGCGTTTTCGGGCCCAGATCTGTCGTCCGAAGCACTCTCTGATCTTCCGGCTTATCACGTTTATCAGCGCCGGTCGGCAAGACCCCGACCTCCTCTCGACTCATGCGCCCCCCGGCCGTGTTCCCCGCGATAGCCAGACCAGCCATTGGCAGACCCAGGACTGCGGATAAAGTAGCCCGTTATGGGGTTTCGTGGGCATGGGTCCGGTTCCTGATAAGATGCTTGTTTGGTTTACTCAACTGACAGAGTAGGACTGACAGTTCCCCGGGCTATCTGCACTATCTGGGCGAGGGCTCGTCTATCAACTGCACCCCGGAGACCAGGCCTCGTGAGCCTGCGGGGGTTCGAGATAATGGCCAATTGGCAACGGGGCATTAAAACATCATGTCCTCTCCCCTCCCCGTGAGGTCACGAAGGTTGAGTCGTCAACTTCAACGTCTCTTGTTGTTCCTGTTGCTAGACACATCAGTCCTTTGAGACAGTCAACGACAGCAAAGATGGCCGATAACACGCACGCCGTCGACAAGGACATCAAGGCGGCCGAGGACGGCCTCGAGCCGACCAAGTCGCTGACCGCCGGTGAGGTCCAGCACCTCGACGCCTCCGCCGAGTTCCTCTACCAGAACAACATCACCGAGGAGTACCTCGCCGAGCTCGTCAACGACAAGGAGAAGAACCGCAAGCTCGTCCGCAAGATCGACCTCATCGTTCTGCCCCTGCTCGCCGGCACCTACGTGCTGCAGTACATCGACAAGCAGGCGCTCTCGTACGCCGCTGTCTTCGACCTCTTCACCAGCACCAGCGTCACGCAGACGCAGTACTCGTGGTTCGCGAGCATCTTCTACCTCGCCTACCTCGTCGCCGAGTACCCATGGGTCTACCTCGCGCAGAAGACGCAGATGGGCAAGGTCGTCGCGGGGTGTGTGCTCTCGTGGGGCTCCGTGTTGATGATCACGGCCGCGTGCTCCAACTTCCCCGGCCTGGCGGCGTGTAGATTCTTCCTGGGAGTCTTTGAGGCTCCTATCACGACCTGCTTCATGATGATGGTCTCCATGTGGTAAGTTACACCCCAGTCTCACCCGAACCCAGAGTATAGCAAGCTAACACACGCAACTCTAGGTACGTCCGATCGGAGCAGCCCTTCCGCGCGGGCATCTTCTACTGCTGCAACGGCGTCGGCTCCATGCTAGGCGGCCTCCTCAGCTACGGCATCGGGCAAATCGACTCCTTCCCCGTGTGGAAGGCCGTCTTCCTCATCTGCGGCGGCATCACCATCCTCTGGGGCATCCTGCTGCTCTTCTACCTGCCCGACAGCATCCTCACCGCCAAGCGCTTCTCGCTCGAGGAGCGCGCCCTGCTCGTCGGCCGCGCGCGCCTCGCCCGCACCGGCGTGCTCAACAAGACGGTCCAGTGGTACCAGATCAAGGAGGCCGTGCTCGACCCGCAGGTCTGGCTGCTGACGCTCTTCGTGCTGCTCAACGAGGTCATCAACGGCGGCGTCGCCAACTTTGGCAAGCTCATCATCAAGGGGCTCGTCTCGGACCCGCTGCTCACGACCGCGCTCGGCATCCCGCAGGGCGCGTTCCAGGTCTTCTGGATCCTGTCCGGCGCGTACACCGCCACGAAGCTGAAGAACCAGCGCACCACGGTGATGGCGCTGTGGCTGATCCCGACGATCCTGGGATGCGTCATGATCTGGAAGCTGGATCGGGCGCACTACAAGGTCGGCGTGCTGTTCGGGTACTACCTCGTGGGCTCGTTCGTCGCGTCGCTGGTGCTCGCGCTGCAGATGCCAGCGACGAATTTGGGCGGTTACACGAAGCGTATCACGGCCTCGGCCATCGTCTTCACGGCGTACTGCGTCGGAAACGTGATTGGACCCCATGCTTTCCTGGCCAAGGAGGCGCCGCTGTACCCGACGGGGTGCAAGGTCATTCTTGCGTGCTCGGTCGCGCAGATGTGTATCGCCATCTCGTTGCGGGTGATGTTGATGCGTAGGAACAAGCAGAGAGACGAGGCGGCTGCTGCGGCTGCGGTGACGCCTGACGCTCAGCATGAGGATGAGGGTGTTGATCTGACTGACATGGAGAATCCCAACTTCCGTTATGTGTTGTAGATAGCGGTGGTGATGGTAGAGGATGGGGTAGATGAGCTGTTCAGAGTTATGACCATGTTGTCTGAAGTTAGCGTCACAGCGATCAATGATTACACGCATTACATGCGCTTCACAAAGGTTTACAATGATTTTGGGCACCTAGAGGTCGAGCCTGGCTCAGTGATTGAAGTGAAGGTAATTCGGCTGCCTTCCCATTGGAAGCTGTGGATTCTGTTTCAGTAAACACCAGCATTCGAACGGCTGCAAGCGAATCAACCCTTGACTGTGTGACTCTTCATCATTTCAAAAGCACAAAAAGATGGCGAACCCATGTTGAAAAATAGGCATCGTATTGAAGCAATTAGTGCCTAGACATGTGAGACCCGTATCTGTACTATGGCGAACACCTTAACCGCCACGGCTTTTTCAAGGCCTCATACTTTCATCTGCGGCACGGAGGCTATCGAGGTAGCCCCAGAATCCTCGGCCATGGGAGACCATCGAGGGTGGCACGAGAATCCTTCGCTAGCCGGGAACGAGCAATTGGGTACGGGGGAGGAATTTCGCAGTCGAAGGGCGGTAGACGAGGACGAGGACGAGAGTCACTGGACGGGAGAGGCTTGTTCTTGTTTGTCTCGAACGCGGAAAATCTCATTGTGTTGGGTAGTCGTGAACCATTCCTATGCCATTTTCCTCTCCTCAGAGAGCCGGACGCCTCGAATTGGCGATTTTTTGTCCCATGCAACCAACTCTAGATCCATGTAGACCGACCGAACCGAACGACTAGACCTTTTGAGATAAAAGAGTCAGTCACCGTGTCCGAGTCCGGCTTCGCTTTTTGGACGCCAATAAAATCCCTCGAGAGCCTTTTGCAAAGCCCCATCCACAACGTACCATTTCCTTTCCTCCCCCGAGGACGAAGCCTCAGCATTTATCGCTGGGCGGACCAGACGGCCTTGACGAGGCCATCGCGCTGGGCAAGGCGGTTGAAAGCGTCGTCGCTCTCACCCATGGCACGGACGAAACCGCAGAGGGCGTAGACGTGGTTCTCGCCGGGGACAGCGCGGCCGTTCTCGTCAACCTTGGCGACGGAGATCTGGACGGAAGCGTGGTCCTTGGCCTTGATGATGCGGTTGGTGGCGCTGCACTTGCGCGGAACGTAGCTGAAGGAGCAAACATGTTAGCAAATCCGTTCCTCTGCGTCTGTTCATCCTCCATCGCATTGCGATCCCTGGCCTTCCTCCCAATTCTCGTTCCTGAAGCAGAGGTCCGAGGGGGCAACCGAGAGAGATTCCACGCAAGAAAAATGCCGCCTTCTTCTGCTCTCTTTCCCCCCTCAAACTCCTCCCTCCAGAACGAGAATTCGGCTACCGGCGCGCGGGTGCATCGTGACGTGACGTCTCGAGGACGGGTGGTTTGGTGTTCGCTTACAGATCGACGATCTCGCCCTTGTCGTTCTCCATTGCTGCGGTTGGCGTTCGGGGGGTTGTCTAGAGAAGTTGTTGGTGATTTTGCGTTACGCGGAAGTGGTCGTCGGGAAGAGACTGAGGCGTGGTGGGGGTGACTTCTTAATTTTGCCAAAAAACTGTGTGGGCGCCTCCTTCCAAAAAGTCCGGTGGGTTGCGCCTGCCGAGCCGGCGGCAGGGCTGCAGTCACGTGTCGGCTGAGTCAGGTGACTGCGCGGCAATGACGCGGGTGTCGAGGGCGCTTGGGACACTCGGGCCTCCACCCCGCTGCAGCGTGCATGCTCCGCTGAGTGAGGTTTGGGTCCCATTTAGTGCTGTTAGTGGTGTCGCGCGTAGTGTGTTTTGTTTCTTGAAGGACGGGAGGGCGTGAATGACAACTCGATGCGCCATTGCCACCGCCAACACATCTGAGACACTACGGGCGACTTCAATGTCTACGCACGCCTTGCAGCCACTACGATAGTCTCTTGTAGACCCCCAACAAACATCCTGCTGCGGTTTGTGTTGAAACCATGCGCTCGGCGCATCACCTTAGGCCTGTCGAGATTCACGATGGGGTCTCCGTTCGGGACCATTTCTCATGACCCCTACAGCCTCTCCTCCTCGCCAGGTCTCCCGTCTCTCGACCAGATCAAATCACAGAACCCTTCACGACCTCCGCTACAAAGTGGCAGCGCGGCGATGGCAACCCCCGACAATGCGAGCCATAGCTTCACCAGCGTGTCCAGCTTCCTCCGCCACGAGCACTCCACGATCGACCTGACGACTCCGTATAAACCCCCGACCGAACACTCTGGCATGCCCCCGCCGCCACCACCGGAAGAGGAGGAGCCAGTTGTAGTGTGCCTCGCAACGGTATCGAAACCGAAGCGGAAGAGAGGTGTCAAGGTGTTGGAGAAGAAGCCAGGCCAACCGCCTCCAAAACCAGCCAAAGCTGGGAAGGCTGCCAAGGAGAAGGAGGAAACCGAGGCCGACCAGCCGTGGAAGAAGTACTTGAAGGACGCTGCCGAGAAAGAAGAGAAGAAAGCCAAGTCTACAAAGCCCAAACCTGCGGCCAAGGCTAGAACGACGAGGAAGAAGAAGGAGGAAACTGTCAGTCGCCACTTTGCCAAACCGAAAGACGAGGACCAGGATCAGGAGGCCGAGGTGCCTAAGCCGCCAAAGAGGACCAAGAAAGATGCGGACGAACCTTTGGACTTGGAAACGGCTATGCGCCGTCGCATGGATTGGACACCGCCGCCTGCCGATACCGTTGCTGGTTCGAACCAACAGGTCGTGGATTTGCTCTCCTCAACCGACAAGACCTCAAGTCTTGTCGCCTCAAAGGAGACTTTCGATAATCTTTTCAAGAACTATGCGCACCCCGAGGAGGAGCAGGCGCGGCCCTCCGTCGAGCCACCCGACAATGAGCGCCAGGTCTTAGGGAAGAGGAAGTTGATCGAGACCGTATCTATCAACGAAACGGCCAAGACGGGCCCGTCCGAGAGAGCGGCCCCGAAGGCCAAGGCACCCAGGAAGAAGCCTCGAACTATCACTGAGCTAGCCACAGCTGCCTATAAGGTCCCAGAAGCTACTGAGCAGCAGGAGCCATCTGCACTTGCACCAGAGAGCAACGCCGTCGAAGCAGAGGAGGCGAAGGGCAAGGGAAAGAAGAGGGCATCCAAGGCCAAGAAGCCGAAAAAGATGCCACCGCCGGAACCTGTCCTCCTTTCACCGACCGCAGCTTTGAGACAGGCCGCAAACCAGGACTACGTGTTTGGCACCTCGAGCCAGTTGGCTCGGGAACACTCGCCAACGTTCCTACGAGACCTTCAATCAGCTCTCCAAGCTTCAAACTCGCGGGGAAAGGACGACGACCCCTTCGTGACGCCCATCAACAGTGACGCGGTAGAGCCAGAACCGCGACAGAAGCTGTGGGGTGTCGGTGCAAGAGACGAAGATGGACGAGTCTTGGACCTCGAAGTCATCAACTTGGCAGACACGCCACAGGGAAATGAAGGCACATCTGAAGGGCCCAATCCATTTGGATACGTGGCCACGGACAAACAGGCGCCACCACTACCGAATCACTTTCCATCAGATGACTCGTTCCCTGATATCGACGATCTTCTCGGAAAAGCGATCGCGGGGGGGCTGCCTAGCATTCAGGAAGAGGCACCATCCTTTCAGCCTGCGGCAGCTCAATCCGCCCCGAAGGAACCACGCCCTGCACCCGAACATGAAGCCGCGTGCCCAGCCGAAAAGGACATCTCCGAGGATGATGTTGAGCTGCGGCCGCCGCGGTTGCTGTCAGTGACTGGCAGAGGAACACAACAGCCTGCTGCCAAAGCCAAACCTGTCCAAGAACCCAGCAAACCAAAATTCGACCTATACACTGACGTCCAGCTCGCACGTGAAATCTCCTCATACGGGTTCAAGCCAGTCAAAAGACGCACGGCTATGCTTGCTCTATTAGACCAGTGCTGGGAAAGTAAGCAGCGACCAGCCCTTTCTTCCCTACCCACGAACCATCCGATGATCTCGACGATATCTGAGTCACAGACAGCTGCCAAGGTGCAAAGGGCTGCAGCTGCTGTGTCACCCAAACGCCCGCGGGGCCGTCCGAGAAAGAACAGTGACGTTGCGCCAGCATCCCAGGAGATGTCACCTAAACGTGGGCCGGGACGGCCCAGGAAGACACCCAGCGTCGAACTCCTATCGTCACCCAAACGCCCGCGGGGTCGTCCGAGAAAGAGCAGCATCGAGATCCCGTCCAGTGAGCCGCCGCCGTCAGCTCAGCCTCCGCCGCCATCTCCCAAACGGCGACCCGGACGGCCGAGGAAAACCGCTGAGCCGACACGAACCACCGGCGGCACGATAAGCAACAAGGGTAAATCCAAGGCAGCTGCAGATACCCCAGACGTAGCCTCGCCGGCGGCGTCACGCGCCAGGAAGCTTGCGTCGCAAAACATTATCGAGATCCCTGATTCGGCCTCTGAAGGGTCCCTGTCGCCGTCGCCCTACTCGTCTCCAGAGCCAATGTTCTCGTCACCGCCGCCACTGGATGCTTCCTTATCAATCACGGACGATACGGAGATGTCGCTCGCTGCGTCGCCAAAGAGCCAGGAGTCTGCGGCTCTGTTTGAGTGCATCACCGAAGCCGTGACGACGGCACCCCCAACCATGGACCCGAAGAAGCCCACCTTTCATGAGATGATGTTGATGTATGACCCTATTGTGCTGGAGGACCTTGCCACTTGGCTGAACACAGGTCAGCTGTCCAGAGTTGGCTACGACGGCGAGGTCTCCGCGGTTGAAGTGAAGCAATGGTGTGAGTCCAAGAGTGTTTGCTGTCTTTGGCGCGAGAGCTTGCGAGGAGGCGAGAGAAAGAGATATTGATTTGGAGTTGAGGCAAGGATACCCTCTACGTGTTTATGCATTCATCACGGCGTAACTTGGGTGGGCACAGGCACAGCTTTGGAGAGGCCTAGCATTCACTTAACATGCGCAATACCAAACTTTTACACGTTGATATCTTATTCTCACTGCTTCTTAACTATGATTGTAATGAAGCCTTTGAAAATATCAAGTACGGATGTCGATCGTTGCTCGCCGCACGGCATTCCTCAACCGGCGCAGGGCGCGGTCACAGGGCGCTCACCGAACCTCGGCAAAACATCAAACAACCCCGCTGCGATGATCTAGTCCGCAACACACCTCATGACTTTGAGCTAGCCGGACAGGCTATTCCCAGGGTTTTCTAATGTCTACATTCATATTTCCACGGTGCATTCGCGCGCGTTCAAAATCGTCAGTACTCTCAGTCCGACTCACGAATTCGCACTCAATTGCGACCGGAACATCGACCCGAAGGCCGCCGAGTACGAACACGCCGCCGCCACTCAGAACAGCCACATTTCGTTTTGAAGGCGCCACGCGGGTAGCAATCATGTCACAGAAGCGGGCATCATCGTCATCCAAGGAGAAGAAGGAAGTCCAGGCGCCACGGCCAAGCTCAAGGTAGCCCGACACCCATATTGATTCCCAGCAGCACGCGCGCGCTAACCGGGCACCAGCATCCTCCTCCTCTCACCAACGAACCAGGTCCTGCTGCTCCACCGGGTGAAGACGTCCACGTCGTTCGCCTCGGCGCACGTCTTTCCCGGCGGGAACCTGGACGCGTTCCACGACGGGGAGGTGCCTGCGCCCGAGGCGCGGGAGAGGCATGAGGACGGGCCTGCGTATCGGCTTGGTGCGATCCGGGAGTGTTTTGAGGAGACGGGGATTCTGCTTGCGACGAGGAAGGGCGCGGCGGCGGGGGAGGAGTCTGCGCTGGTCAACTTGTCGTCTGCGGATAGGGATGTCGCGAGGAAGCGGATTCATGGGAATGAGGTGAGGTTTGGGGAGTGGGTTGAGAGTGTCGGGGGCGTTCCGGACGTTGGTATGTGGTCCTGTTTCCTGTCAATTCATCTCACATCGACAAATCCTGAAAGGCTATGGTCTGCAACTTCTGGACTGGAAGCATCATAATGAGCTATGCGCTGGCAATGCGCCAGCGTAGCATAGCCATCTTGGACTGGCAAATGGAGGATGCAACAGCTCACTGACAAGCGCAACAGATCGCTTGATGCCCTTCACGAGATGGGTCACGCCAACCAACGTCCCCAAACGCTTCACAACGCAGATGTACATCTACATGCTCCCGCACTCCGCCTCAACGGGCGCTGAGGCCGCGGAGCATGAGATTATCGTCCCGACGCCGGACGGGGGCGTGGAGCACACGGCCGCCAAGTTCGACGACGCTTCCGTATGGCTCTCCCGCGCCGACAAGGGCGAGATCATCCTCTTCCCGCCGCAGTATTATCTGCTCTTCCTCGTCGCGCAGTTCTGCAAGGGCGCCTCGAGCGGGGCCGGTGTCGAGCACTTCGCGGCGCAGCGGGAGCAGCTGAAGGAGTTCCTGAAGCGGGTCCCGACGGCCGAGTCGGAGGCTGCGAGGAAGCAGCCCACGTCGGAGATCCCCTGGGCGGACAAGGTCATGAGCCCGCATAACCTGTTCATCCGCGAGGAAGATAACCGCGTCGTGCTCGGGATCGATAAGCCGGGGCCGGAGCTCAAGCGCTCGGGGCGCGGGGGCGACTGGGAGAGGGTCGTGTTGGTCAAGTTTACGCGCGAGGGCCCGCGCAAGGTCGAGGTTCGAGGGCGGGAGGAGGTGTTGAAGGAGGAGAAGGAGGCGAAGAGGGCGAGGGATGAGTCGGAGAAGTCGAAGATCTAAGTCGGCGGGCTTCGGACACGTGGTAATCGATGGTCTTCCTGTCTTTTAGACGTTAGAGATTCCACAGAGATGAATAGATGAAGGATCCCCTCAAGAGAGGAAGTCTCTCGAAATTCCATCTTGCTGACAGCCCGGAGAAACCAACACTGTCAGCAGCCCCAGCCAGCCCTACGCATCGACACCGCCCCCAACACACAGTTGCCGTTGCCTTTCCACGTTTCTCTCTTGTCTCCTCCTGACTTAAAGACATGGAAACCGAACGATCGGAAGGATGAGATGTGACGGCAGTAAATAGAACTGAATGTGCAAAAAAGGCGAACTGCCTCCTGCACAGTACTATTCGAAAGCGACCTTGCAAACAAACTTCCTACGAGTCAGGCGTCCCTTCCCCCCTCACACCCACCACAAAAAGAACTGCACAGCAAAAGTAGCTCGAAGAGCTTCAGAACTCCTCCATGGGCCTGGGGGATCGGTTCCCCCCCGAAACATGCGGCTCCGAGGCTCTGCTCCAGACACAGAAGCAGACAGAAGGGCAAGAGGAAGGGGCTCTGGCATGCTGCAGTTGGAACGGTCTCTCAAGAAGCAGCCACGCAGCTAAGCGACATGGATGCAGACATCTACTCCGTGGCCGCGTCGGGGGCGACCCGGCCTTGGGTAGTGCTGTGTGTGTGGTGTACGGATGCAGAATGCTGGATTCCACACCATTATCCACCCGATGGCAGCTCACTTCTGCTTTCTCTCGTCCCTCCCGGCTTCCCCTCCAATCCTGTCCTTTTTCATCCGCGGTCACCCACTATTCAATCTCCCATTCCTCCACACCCTCGTTCTGTTTGCCCTTCTCGGATTCCCAACCGGGGGCCGCAGCCCGATGAACCATTGGCCCGAGATATGGCGATTTATGATCTGATGCTGCGAGCCTGCGAATGGACCACTGGCGCGGGGTTTGGTTGGGTAGAAAGTACTGAGAGGCGCTGTTCACGAGATGTTTCCTGCGAGTTTGACGTCTTTCCCCATCGTTCTCGCGAAATCAATCCCTTACACCCTGTCAATGCCCCCCACGTGTTGGAACTCTTTCGCATAATAACACTTCTGGGTTGCTTCCTGAATGCTATACCTTGAGGCTCTTGCCGTTGAAGAGTGCGCCACAGCCTGACCGATGGCTTTGATGCCGGTGTTGTTCTCTTTATCCCTGATCCTCGTTCCGACGGCTTCACCACGTCGACACGATTTGCAGCTCCGTCCCGCATCATCACATACGTGGCCTCGGAGTTGAACGTTATCCCGACTCAAATATAGTCCCGTGGACAGTTTATCAGACCATGATGACGCCCCCTGCCGACGGGAGGCGGAAGACGGTGTGCTTTTGCAACAATGGCTTGAAATGATTAGCTCCATCTTTGCCATCTGTTGCTATCTCGAAGCCAATCTCTCGGCCTGGGAACCCCTCATCTGATGACAATTGCTGACCAATCCAGCGGGTGTATTCAACCCCGTGGGGGACCATCTTATGAAGCTTAGATTGGGAGTCAATGACTCTGGCGGTGAAGCCTGTCGCCAGTTCTCGCGACGACCGTGATGATGACGACGTCACGGACGGGAACGCGGCCCCGAGCATGACCGAAAGGAGCCCGAGCGGAGTAAGGTTACTTCACAGGGAGAGAACGTCGGGTACGAGGACCGCTCACATTTTTGCACATTGCTGAAGAAAAGTGACGAGCGCTCGAAACTTTCACTTGCCGAAGCAACTCGACGAAACCGATACCACACCAGGGTAGCTCTTTCACCACCCTAGAGACAGATACAGACGCCGTAACCCCTATCCCGTAAGGCTACATGTAACCGGAGACCAAGTCAAATCAAATACAAGGTGCCAATGGACCAATCTGCATAACCTGCTACACACCTTCCTCTTGTCTGTAGACATCATGAGCGGCAGAGCGGGGAAAATGCAGTGTTATATCATGCGTGGATGTGATTGGAGGGCTTCTATTGACTTCGCTGCATCCACATGGGTTAATTATGCAAGAGCAGCATGTATTCGGCATCCTTGGCTACAACGGGTACAAGCCATGTTAGGAAGAGTCCGAAGAGAGTGGACCATGCCGTCGTGAACGATGGATATACGAAACCGAGTGCTTGATAAAACATTCAGTGACCCGTAGAGCCTGATTCACAGCTGTAGTCCAATGTTTAAGAGTTTACGCGCCGTTGTCGTGCCGTTGACGGTTGGCGCGTGCTGTTCCATGCCGTCCCATGCCGCCGCTCGAGGGCCCATCCCGCATGTCGTAGCCACACCCGCTATGTAGGGTGTGAGCAGATGACGGATGTCGGATACCAGACGGAAGACAACAAGCAGAAAGTGGTAGGTGATAGCGGGGTTGCCAACTCACATGTTTGACCGACAAGGGAGATTTGACCAGGGGATTTCTCGCAGAGCCTCATTAAAATGGGACTCGGGCTGTTTGGTTGGGCAGGCCCTTGTCGAGGACGATAGATATTGATCCCTGACTCGACCGGAGGGGGGTCCTGTGTCTCTAGTTCCGTCAAAGGACGGGACAGGGATGTGCTTTTTCTGGCCTGAAAATTGCAGTGAAGACGACCTTGATAATGCTAGCGCGGAGCAGATGACCCATGTAGGAGGTGAACATCTCGTAGATGGAGTGAACATCCATGGGAGCAGTAGCCGAGAGGGGCAACAAGATGGCTACTATTCATCGGCAAGTGTAGTCGACATTCTTTTAACATGAAAACTTATAAATACCCCTTGGGCTCTCGATGAAAATGACCCAATTTGACTGAGAACACCATCGAAGCTGGGCTTCTTGAAAAGAACACTGTGCAACAACACTTCTCAGCTCTACCATTCAAAGAAAAACCTCACACCCTGCCTCCCTCCGTTTAGCATCCATCATGTCTGACAGGCAAGTCTCTGAAACGAGATTCATGATCATGACCATTAACGGAAATTTAGTACTTCGCCCAGCCCGATGCTTGACATCTATATCAAGGACACCGACAATGTTCCCGACAGGCTCACGAATGCCAAATGATGGACAAGCGTTCAATGGTAGTAAACACGCTGTATCTCTGCCACTCTCCTGTAACGCGGATGGTGGTGTATTGAGTGTGCCTAGGTGGGGTTTGAGATTTTGAGGAGGCACTGATGGCTTGTTTGATACCCCACTTTGGAGACGGATTATCTCCAAGTACTACTGTTGGTTGATTTTGAGTCGATACTGTTGGTTTACTTCTTTCTTTTCGAAGGGCTGGGAAGCTGTGGCTGGACTCAGGACATACAGAGTAGCTGCTGGACTGCTTTTGGACGCGTTCCATTTCTCACCACATTACCTCGGATACGCTCGTTACACTACGGTGCTAGAAGCACCAAGATTCACGAATACAAGTCGACGCAGAAGATCTCTCGTTGGAATAAAGCTCTACTTTAGTCTCCGCGTAACAAGAGTAAACGATCTGACCCAACCCTGGGAGATTTGAAGTCTACGCTGACAAGCCAGCTGTGGCGAGTACATGTACGGTAGAAGCGAGCTCAAAGATCATTGGTAAGGCTTATGCGGAGCGATCCTTCTTTGAGGCTCTGCAGGAAACAAGGCCTGTAATGTAGTATAAAACATGCACGTATTTGCCATCCTCAACCCCTGATCCTCGTCAAATCTGTACATCAAACCTGTACGCGATCATCTGCTCTATCGTCCAGCCGTAGCTCGTGTACTCTTCCAATCGCTTGGTTCATCTTGATGCCGTTGTTGTTACGTGGCCTGCGGCATGTTGATATTTACGAAATGTCGTGGTCTAGGATGATTCGTACCATGCCATCCTGACGTTTTTCGGTCAACTAGTTACACCTGATCACCTGGTAAGGGTTCCCCAAAGCGGTAATGGGAGGTACAACGTCTTCATATGTACGGCAACTACCCAACCCACAAGTCTTGGCAGTGTCAAGCTGAAGCTTTGACCTGGAGTTTGCTGCTTGTTTCCCCGCGTCGAGCTGCCAAGCTCGGGTCTGCTACCCGTTCAAGCTTGGCGATGCTGTCCACAATACGTGCTAATCAGCAACAACACGACACGAAGCCTACTGACTGCTGGAAGCGCACCTCGGGAATCAATCGCGAGTTTCTGAATAACAGCATTTCGCGAATAATTCCCGAGACGAAGATCATTACGCCACATTGCGGGACTCTCGATCACATACACACATTGATCAACACGCATTGCCGCACATCACTGAAGAAACGATGAGCTCCCTCAAGAGATTCTGCTACATGTACATCACCACACCACCTCGTCAGCTCCTCTTGAGCGTCATTGAACTGTAATCTCACGCAGTACGCAGAGATGAGCATGGTTGTACCCTGATCCACGACGCGAGACCAGCGAACTACCTCCATCATACGCACGTACTCGGAGCACTATTGTCTGCATGCCCCCACAACCGAGTCGCTCGCACACCGCATCCTCAATGCGAGCAACCATGTCGCTACCTTCACAGCAAACTCTCAGCGGTGCCACGAAGTTCTTATGCAGTCTCGCATGCAAGACAGGCGTGGATGTGGGGGTGATTGGACCCGTTGGTGAGGGGCGTATGTATGTTGCGCTGTTGGCTGCAAAGCCTGCATGGAAATTGACCAGGGAGAAAGACCGGGGAGAAAGTCCTCATCGAGAGAGCGAGAGGGGTGGTTTCTACACACCTTCGTCTGGCAGAAGCCAAAAAGAAACGGTTTAATCTCTGCCCCATCCTTTCTCGATGAAGAATCCCGGGAGGGGGGGCGTGTCGTAGAGCCTGGGCTTGGAATGTCGTTGGATGAGCTCGCCGTGCGCGCGCGCGTCGTCGGCCCCGCTGAGAGACGAAAAACGGCACGGGGTGAATCGTCCGTCACGGCGACTGGACGAACCCCGACCGAGTCGCGAAGATGACCGCAGGCAGAGCCTCATGTTTGGGGTGGGATTTGCGTCCGGTTGGTCGGCTTTCGTTGTTTGACCTTCGGGTTGTCGAGGATTGTGCCGGGTCTCATGAGGTTTGGCCCGCTTTGGGGGTGGCCCCCTCGATTCGTTTCTGGGTCTGATAATGGATCTCTGGCGTCGTATTGGGTACGGATACGGGGCCGGGATTTTGCTGTGAAAGTGGGAATGGTGTCAGTTGCGTTCCGATGGAGCAGGTGACCAGCGGAGTGCTGCGCGGGATGGAGCGAGGAACGTGGCAGGGTACGATATCCGAGAAGGAGTTCCTGATCATGTAAGTTTTGAGTATAAATACCCCCTCAACCATATATTGAGATTATGAAGAGGTGACTGCAAGCTGAGGAAGCCCGTTACCGACTATTCGCACGCTGAGCATCCTTCTCCCTCTGAGACTGTCGATTTTGCTGCCAAACCATCTATCTCAGACCTCGTCTTCATCCGTCATCACGATGAATCATAACACTTACTTTGACGTCTTGGTAAATGGGTAGGCAAAGATTCCTTGCCAAATATTGCTTCGGCATCTGACTATACTACAGTAGTGACCAACCGGGAATGCTTGACGTCTATCTCAATGACACCGGCAATGTTCAAGATCGACTCTTGAACCCTCCACCACCCCCGCCTTCCCCTCCACAGCCGTCGCAATAGACGGCAGAATCCTAAGATTCATGCATGTGAAAGCAAGTTCTCCGAGGCTACACAGAACCTCGATATCGGATGAGTCTCCGACGACACATGAGAGCAACAGAAACCATTTCGATACCCCTTGGAGTTGGCGTTGAGCGGTGGCGTTTCCCTTTTGGGCTGCTTTGTCTGGGAGCCAACTGAGATTCTCAGTTGAGCTATGGGAAATATGATAATAATAACATGTACTCTTTCATGGCTGGTGCTCGGAGCTTTTGAATACATCCTGCTTGAACGACACGTTAGCGCCGTGGACCTGGGCCGTTGGGTCATAGGGACGGTGAATAACAATCATTGATGTCACAAGAAGTATATAGAGGGATCCATGTGGATGTAGTAAATCACAAAGGACGAGTGCCATTCTTTGTGATGTCTTCATTACTGGGCAAAGGCATCCAAACCCGTTTTCATGTCCGTTTTCATGCCCTTGCCCATCGTTCATTGTCTATCGTCATCAGGAGGTCGTCCCTGAGGAAAAGTCGTCCTGTCTAGTGCGAAAGAAAACCAGCACCACCACTCTTGACGCCCAACTCACGCATCTTCATGGCAAGGGCATCCTCGAGCTCCGCCCGAGCAGCCTTCTGGGCCTCGGCAAACTCCCTAGCCTCCTCAGGGCTCATGAGCTCATCCTCCTTATCATCCTCCTTTCCCTTTCCCCAGTCGGCATGCTCCCGACGGCGGATCTTGCCCATCATCCTCTCGAGTTGCTCGTTGGTCCAGTCGGCAAAGAAGGTGTCAGGCTTCTCCTCAGGCTTCTCTTGAAGAAGGACATCGATGGCCTTTGCAGTATGAGTCTCCTCGTTGTAGGCGATGGGATGCTGGCGGTATCCCGAGAACTTGATGGCGAGGCGGCGCGCCTCGTACAGGCGCATCATGACCCTGGCCGGGACGGTGGGCTTCATGTATCTCAGAGCAGTCTTGGTCCAGTTGGCCTTACGGGCGGCGGCAATGAAGGTTCCTGCAGTGCCCTCGGTAGCCGCCATGTGAGGCGCAAGCTTGGTAGCTTTCTCGAAAAGCTCGGCCATGGCCATATCGATGGCGCGGGTGTCGAGGTTGGGGGAGACGGCGCGCAGAGCGTTCTTGAAGGCGATGGTCTCATTCTCGTCTTCGAGGTACTTCACCTCCTGGTTGGTGGGGTCGCGGTACATCTCGAAGCCGGCGCCGGAAGGTAGGATCTTCTTGAGCGTCTTGGACTTGGACTTGGTCTTCTTGGTCACTGTCTTCTGGGTATTGTCGGCGGCGATGGCGGGGACGCCAGAGACGACGGGAGGGAGCTCTTGAGCCTGAGACATCGTGTAGGACTCTGCTGTCTGGTCAGTTATCGTCGAAAGTGGCGACTGAAGCAGAAGGAGGCAAGTCGTGGATTCGCGTGAGCGAATGGGAAAGAAATAGGGGAAGGTTCGTTGGATGGGTTGCGATCGAAAAGTGACGTTGATCGGAAAGCCGAATAAGCTGGGGAAAAGGACGGACAAGAGTGGTTCAGACGTGACTTACGTTTGATGCGATGAGGCAAGATTGTGGGCGGAATGATTATGTTGTGAAGTTGTGAGGCGAAGAAGTAGGTTGTGTGGTTGCCAGGGTGAAGTTTGCTGGAGGTGGGTGGACGAGATGGAAAGTGAGAAGATCTGAAGACTTTCCACTGCCGCTCGTCTGATGTTTTAAAGACAGGAAAGAATGGAGTCAAAGGGCGGCAAGAGGTGAGATGGAGGTGAGCCAGCGTCAGGGGCTAGGTAGGTGAAGCATTGGGTGAATGAGCAACTCCCGACGGGGGATGAGGACGACGGCGACGACGCGTCAACACAGAAACGCGTCCAGTCTTCCCAAAAGAGAAGGAAGCACCTTCCTCTCTTTCTCAACTTCGACTTCACCTTCGACTTCACCCTCTCAACCTGAGGCTGCCCCCCTCACCCTTCTTTATCCAAACAATGATGCCTGATTGTCACCAGAGCGGCCGGGTGGCCTGGGGGGTGATACCCTCAGGTTATCTCTCACCAAGACATTGGACTCTTCCAGTTCGATTCCCGGTCGCTGCGCAAAAGCCACCTTAACCACTGGTGTACGTCGGATGTGGTGAGAGCCTCCGTCTAATGTGCATCTTTGGATAGTGGTCTCTTGTGTTCCAAAGCCTTTGATGCTGCGGGCGCTGGGGACCCGGTTTCGGTGCTACGAGCCTGGAAATTCTTTGAAACCTTCCTCTGATTAATTCAGAAATTTCTTTTTTTGTATTTTGTTCAATCGTTCTGACTTTTGACATAATCATTTTGGACGCATGTAGCGATGTGACTTCGCACGATCTGTAACTAGATGGACGCTTCATGCGTGAGAGCGATGATGAAAAGTTATGTCTTCAAACTGAACGTCACACTGATTAATACGTTGATAGATGTAACTGTTACGATCCGCCGCCGCCGCATCCTCCTCCACCTCCTCCACAACCGCCTCCACTTATCATAACAACTGATCCTGCATATGCTCCGCAACCTACACATCCCGTTAGCGACAGTAACAGACATTCTTCGGAACGATCTTGACGTACCGCCCATCTGGTTTGGAGTTCTCCCAGCCCATACTCCCTACAACCCAGTCAGTAAATCTCCAAATCCATGCATGGCCGCGAAACTTACATCCGAGCTGGTACACCCCCCAGGCCCGCCACACCCTCCGGCCGCGATGTCGTTGCTTCCGCACAACCCCTGAGCACATCCCGCCCAGCTCCCCGTCCCGGCATGCATGATACCCGGGTCGGCCGCGACGTAGATGCCCGCCGTGAGGTGCGCTGGGTACATGTTCGGCCCGTAGCGGTGATACGTGCTGCCCCAGTGGTTGTAGTACTCCTCGGGCTTGGGCAGCTTGACGCCCTTCTTCGACGCGCGCTTGGCGGCCCGCTCGTACGCGCCGTCCATGCGGTGCTTGCAGATCTGGCGCTGCTGGTAGCGCAGGGCTTTGCGGCCGCCGTTCTCTTTGGAGAGGACGGCGTTGTGGGCGGAGATGTGGACTTCGGCGCCCGGGGCGGAGGGCTTTGCGGAGGCGTTGAAGTTGTCGATCGCTGGGTGGAGTTAGAATTTTGGCCCACGAAGATGAGGAAAGGGGGATGGCTAAGGAGTACTTTTTTGCTGCTTTGTGCGCCCAAAGATGCTCGAATCGTTGATGGTGTGGTTGGTGCGAATAACTGTCAAGTGTCAACTTCAAAGCGGCATGCCAAAGAACAGGGGGGGGGCTCTTGACATACTGTCACACCACCCACAAACACACTCGGAATACACTTCTCCAAACTTGTCCAGATATGTCCTGCTGCTCCACTCAAAAGCCTCCGTAAGCCGCTCCTCATCGATCTTATCGTTGTGGTCGATGAACCTGGCCTCCTTGGTCCCCGTGGTTGCGGAGTTGAAGGTGCTGAACTTATAGTACGCCCGCGGTGCTAGCTGGTGCGTGTGCCACGCGAGGTCGACATCCAGCGTCGGGACGCAGAGGGAGTAGGGGTTCTCCGTCATGATGAGCATGAAGCGGCTGTATTTCTGAAGGAGACGGTCCATGGTGCCGCGCTGGTTCGGGCCGTGGAGCCAGTCGATCTGAAAGGGATGGTCAGTAAATAACACCCTTGTGTTAACTCAGTCAGGGGTTCAACTGACATTGTACATCTTCTCCACAAACACGCCCTGACGCACCGTAGCTCCCACAAGATCCAGCGCGAAGATGGAGTGGTTGTCCCAGTACCGCGACATCATCTTCTTGCTCTGAACTCTCTCCGTGCGCGAGAGGATCTTATTGTACGGCTTCTTATCCAGCTCCTGGATCCTCATGTACGCGTCGTTGTCCTCCAGCGCCGCCTCAATGATATCGCGCACGTTCTCCATCGTGGACGGCTTCTGCAGCCCCGGCCGGACGAGCTTCCTCAGCTCTTCAATAACACCGAAGCCCAACAGGCGGTTGGGGAAGGTGGCCTCTCTGAAGGTCTGGCCCTGCGGGGCGTGCCCGTCGGCCTGCGGGACGGGCATCCCGACCTTGGGCTCGAGGACGGCGCTGGGGACGGTGTGGTTGTCGCCGAGGTAGTGCTCTGCGTCGCTGAGCATCTTGGCCACGGAGAGGAAGCGCCGCGTGATGATCGTGTCGCAGCCTGCCGTGCAGAGCTGGAAGAAGTCTCCGTCGCCGTAGCCCTTGCCAACAAGGCCTGGCTTTCTGGGTGATGTTAGTAGGTGATGAATGTAATGGATTGAGGGGAACTTACGCTTCGCCCTTGTAGAGCTCGGGCAGGCCGCAAGTGGTCCATGGAACTTCTATGGTCTCCTTGCAGACGGGGCATTCCATGTACTTCGCCAGGGGCTCCGCGACGTTATCCCATGCTCGCCCAGTGCTGGCCTCCCAGTTCGCTTTGGCAGCGTCCGTGGCGATGTAGTTGAACTTGACATCGATGATCTCGTTGACTTGAGCCCATGGCATGCCCGTTGTCCAGAAAGTCTTCATCCCGTAGCGCATCGTATCCTCAAGGAAAGCTCTCGGGTTGAGCATGTGTGCGTGCCAGATCATGAGAACATCTGCACCTGTAAGCCTAGATGCTGTTTGAATGAAAGCGGCCCAACTCACCCAACGGTGGAAGAATATCCACAGTCCATAAGAAATCATTCCCACCATCCGGAAACTCAAGATACTTCTCCGACTTGGTCTTCATGTCCTCCTCCTTCAACCGCTCCCCCGCCAACGTCATCCACCAAGTCTCGTACCGATCAACCGCGCGCGCCAAGAACACCGCCCAGCGCTTCTCGCGCAGCTTCGCCAGCACGTCCTTGACATAATCCTCCGACTTCTTGCTGGACCCGGCCTCATCGCTGTCCGGCTTCGGCCCGGCTCTCGTATCCCAGATCTCCCACAGCCCATCGGTATACCCGACCTCCTCCTTCAGCGTCTGGATCGCAAACAGAAGTTTCAGATGAGCCAGGCACGAATCAACGTCCGGATCGCGCTGCGTGCCCAGCCGCAGCGATGAAAAGGCAGCCGTCAGGTTCGCGACCTCCGCCTCGGTGGGCGGCGGCCGCGCGCCTCCCTTGGACCCGTTGATGGACTCAAACGACGGCGGCTGGTCCTCGAACGCGGGCGGCTCGGTCTGCGCGTCCTCGTAGGTGGGAGGCGGCGTGGCGGCGCGCTCCGCCTTGGCCTTTTCAGCTTCTGCCTCTGCCTCTTTCTCCTTCTCCTTCTTGGATCTCTTGAAGAAGGAGGGCATCGCCGCTTTGCTCAACAGTGGGACCTCTCTAGTGGGGTGATGAAGTATGGGGGAGATGAAGATTGGGGAATGCGGGGTTGGATTTGGGGCTGTGAGACGTCGAATGATGATTCTTCAAGTCCAACCGTTGTGGCGGACATCAGATGAACTTCATGGAGACACGCGATTGCTTTTAAGCATAAACACCAGGCCTTCTAGAAGAACCGAGGAAGAAGAATGCCTTGCGCAGCATGTAAGCGCCTCGTTCCTTATCGTGGATTCATTCGTGGGACCGTCAGCAGATCAGCTGGTAAACATGTCTTGGGCGACTAGGCAGACTCGTGAACTGCGGCACAGCAACACCGCACCCCAGATATTCCCTCTTGGCGGGCGGAAAGAAGCTTAGCGCCCGCCACCACAAAGCTTCGAGGACCCGTCGAGATGGTTCATTTCGGGCGAAGTCACCCATCCTTCACGAGGGCCATTGGCCAATCGGCAGGGTTGCGGAACGTAAGCAATCGGGTAGCTCGTAAGCCTGTTGGAGTGGCATCTCGGACTCTTTTATCGCCCATACACATGAGTGCCGCTTCTCCGGATTATTGGGGTCAGGCGACTGCAGGGTTGGATCGTTTTGAGGCCCTTTGACTGCTTCTGGTCCCTTGATCGGTGAGTTTTTGACATCGTGATTGGCAAACGTCATTCATTGTGCGTATTCATCTTGCCCGTCTTACCGAGATATCGCCCAGCCAGTGTCACAATGCGTGCAACATCATGAGCGTCATTGGTTTCAGACGGCTCAGCCACTTTTCACATTGCAAGAGACGAGTAGGCACCACCAAGTTGTAATTCAACCGTCTTTTTTATCCTATCCTTCCTCTTACAACTACCTTCATTCCATTCTCATCGTCCTTTAGAAGACAAAGTTCTCAGCAACGCCCTTGACCAGGTTCTGAGCAAGCAGCTTGTGGATCGCGAGGCCGGCGTGGTAGTTGTCCGCCCAGATGCAGTCGCTGGAGCCGTAGCAGGTCGCGTCCTTGGCGCCGTACTGCGCAAAGTTCTCAACAACAGTATCAAAAGAAGGCTTGGTGTCGAAAACAAGACCCTTGACGCCGCTGTTAGCAGACTTGAAGGTGGCCAGGCGGGTGGTGAGCTCGGAGTTGTAGGAGCTGATGTCGTCGCGCAGGCGCTGCAAGTCCGTCTCGCTCTGGCCGATCATGGCGGGGATCTGGTCGGAGAAGGGCGGGACGGAGAGCAGCACAAAGTTCTTCAGCCCGTCGTCGGCGAGCGTCTGGAGCAGCTCGAAGTAGCGGTCCATGATCTTGGTCACGGGCGCGGACTCCTTGTCCCAGAAGGGCTCGCCGACGTCGTTGATGCCGATCCACACGGCGACGAGCGCGTTGGCCTTGTCGGCGACCGCGCTGGAGACGTACTGCTTGTACTGGTCGACCTGGTCGTCGACGCAGTACTGCGCGTACGTGTCGACGATGTCCTTGTCGGTGGTGGCGCCCGTGACGGCGAAGTCGTAGGTGAGGATCTGGCTGGTGTTGAGGGTGCTGGTGAGGTGGCCGACCCAGTTGAGGCCGCTCGAGGTGGTCTGGCCGGGCAGCGCCGGGTTGCCGAGCGGGTTGCCGGCGGCGGGGAGGGTGCCGCCGGGCCAGAAGCCGACGGTGGAGTAGGAGTCGCCGCTGGATCTGGGGTCAGTGATTTGCCGGCATGCAGAATGTTATGGTCATGGTGGTGTCTTACAATACGATCAGGCTCTTGGAGGAGCTGTTGGCCTGTCTCGGGGTGACGGCGGCGCCGCGGCTGACGTGCCAGGTAGGGCTGGCAAAGGACAGGGACAGGCCGGCTGCGAAAGAAAGAGCGGTTGCGAAAGACTTCATTTTGTCAGGGGGTTAAGATGGGTTGAAATGATATGTACCAGCAAATGAATATCAACAAGAAACGTAGAATTGAAGAAAGAACGTGAAGAGAAACGATAGTCAGACCAACGAGAGACTCGGACAATATCCAGAACAAGAGCCAAAAAGAAACGGTTCAGGTGGGATGGCGCCGGCGCGACATACATATTATATGAAGCCCGTCCATCCCCCCATCCCAAAACCTAGACAGAACGAAAGGCCAAAAACCACACCAAGTAAACAGGGAGGAAAAGGTCTTCGTCACGGCTCGTTTGCAGTACATTGAGGACCCCATCCACGGGCGCGCCGCTATTCGCCGTGATTGGTGGAAGAGTCGCCCGTGGCCCGGGCTTGGGCGGTGCAACCCCCAAAAGGGGCGAGATTGCAGGCGCTCCGCTGGGGCGTGCGGGGCCGCCGTCTCCCTTTTTTGCGCAGCCGATGTCGACAGATGATCAGATCGCGGCGCGTGGAGAGCCTTCGCAGCCATGTATCCGTCTGCCTGTGGCCCAAAAAGTTCTGTTGGTTCTTGAATAGGAAGTTTCCAATTTTGGAGGTTTTCGTCTCTTGGAGGCTCTTTGGGAGTTGATGGTAGAGGTGATGGGCATCATCCGAACATGCCGACTGCAACACCAGATCTGAAGAGACCCGACAAACCGGACAAGAGTCGAATCAATTTGTGTCATGGTTGGCTTGTTTGGAGAAACATTCAGCACTTCAGAGCTGAATTTAAGCGGTCGGATAGGTGCATTTGCTGAAACTTGGTTGTTGAGCACTATCGCTGTTCTTGATACTCCACTGTGACTGATACCACTCACAGCAGCTCACAGCAGTCATGACGAAGGTAGCTGTTCACAACGACGGTGTCTGTTCGTGTGGTCATCAAATCATGTTTTTCTTATATCTATGTACCAAGAATGAAATGAAAAATCTACAATTGAAGAACCATAAGTCACATCCCTACAACCAACTTAGAAGGCGGGGTCGGCGTTCTTGATCAACATCTCAAAGTACTCCTGGAACCAAGTACCAGCCTCCGGCGCAGGAGTAAACGAAGACCCCGAGCTGCACTTCTCGTCATACCGCGTCGCCGAAGAGTTGCTCGTGCCGTCACTCTCGCCGCCAGGCTTGACCCACACAATCGCATCCAGCGTGTCAATGCCCGTCTTCACCGTCGGCCGCGCCCCGAAGCCCGCGTCCTTGACGTTGCACCAGTCGCCCCAGATCTGCTGGCCCGTGGGCTGCTTGCCGCTGCGGCCCTGGTCGACGAGGTAGTTGGCGGGGTACCCCGCCGTCTTGAGCATCGGGGTCAGCGCCGCGTGGAACTTGCTCTCGTCGTAGTTGTTGTTGGGCGTCGTGTACGAGGGCGCGGAGGTCAGGTTCCAGCCGTTAAAGTTGGAGACGTTGGTGACGAGGCCGCGGACTGCCTTGGGAGAGCCGGCCTTCTTGTACACGTCGGCGTAGAGGGTTGCCGTAGGCTGGAGGTTGGCTTCCCAGCCCAGCCAGCCGGCGTGGCCGGCGTCGACGTAGATGGCAACGTTGTCTAGGTTGAGCGTCTTGAAGGCGTAGTCGGTGGCGGCCTTGTAGGTGTCCGCTGCCTGGGAGCACTTTTGCACGCCCATGTTGGTGATGAGGTTCGCAAGTCCATCGGGTTCTGGAATTTGTTAGTGTGTACTCTATTAGTGTGTTCATGGATTGAGACGTACCATAGACGAACACAATACGAGTGTCAGAATACTCCTTAGCCAGCGCGGCAATGGGGTCAATGTACTCCTTCTGGTACTTGTCGAGACCGCCATCAGCAATGGCAAGCTCTCCGGCCGAAGCCTTGGCGGAGCAGTCACGGTCAGGGAAGTTGTAGACAACGTAGGTGCCGGCGTAAGGAGGGTTCGCGCCGCCCTGGTTCAGCTTGCGGATCTCAGCAAGAGTGCTATTCATCAAGCTGATCTTCTCGCGAGTATCGCTGTGCGGGTGTTAGTGAGCTTCTCCACATGAACGAACAGCACCGCAAGAACTCACAGCCAGGCGAAGGAGGGAACCTCGGCGACTTTGGCCGCCTTCGTGGCGAGGTCACCAGTCATCTTGGGGATGGCCAGGTTCTTGATCTCATCGGCGTAGTAGGGATTGGGAAACAGCTGTCTGTCGGCGAGCGGGTTTCCGTCGTAGGAAGCAACCTGGCGGGCCTTGACGGGACCAGCGAGAGCGGCTGGCGCCAGAGCCGCGGCGAGGAGAAAGTGGGCGAGCATGCTGAAAGGTTAAGACAAGATAAGTCTGGGTATCGAAGAAGAGAAAACGAGTGTCGTGCCTGCGATCAGTAACTGGCTTTGCGCGATGGAGCTGTGCTTGTACCATGTCTTTCAGAACCGGACAACCTCGTCCTCTTATACAACCCTTCTAATCCCGCCAAGCTGGAGAGAAGGCCCTGATTCCGAACACTCTCACCTCCGCCGCAGCCGTCAAACAAGGCCTCAAGGGTCGCCCCGGGGTAAAGACGCCGGTCCTTCATCTTAGACGGCATTCCCAAGGATGGCGGGACGATCTCTGCGGTTTGCCGTCGCCCAGCGTCCTGAGGTTACTTTTTCGGCCGTGTGAGATACAATGCGGCCGGGGCTCTGCCGGCGGGGATGATGCTGGGAACACGGCCGAGGGGCATTGGCGCCGAGCCGTCTTGTGCCTGGGCCGTTGCTGCTTTGGGGAAGTTCGGGGGTTTGGAGAGCTGTTCTTGGCCATTTAACGTGGGACGGAGCCGCTGCCTCCGAGAAATCCACGTGAGCGCATGTTAACCCCAGGGATTCGTCGGCAGTGCTGCCCGCCTTATTAACTCCCCGGGCCCACAGAGTTCGGATGACAACATTCGACCAGAAGAAAACTGCGCAGCGTGAATGGCAATTTGGGGGCCGCCAGATTGATTAAGGGGAGAATTGCAGTCCAGGCATGCTGGGCTGTTTCGTATGGGTGCCCTTGTCCGTGGTGATGTAACTCTGAAAGTTGGGGAAAACCTTACTTTCGATGAAATAGAGTGAGGGGGAAACTTGAACGAGAAATGTGTTTTGAGAATGCTCTGGAAGTGGGGGACCGGGGGGCCATAGGAGAATCTCGAGTCAATAGCGACGCGAACTGTATTTCCGAGACGGATGGGTGAAGTCTGATTTGCCAAGTAATTGCTAAAAGGTGTAGTCTGATGCGATTTCAGGGAGGAGGTCTGCTGATGGTTTGGCTGAAGTCATGAGCCGCAGCATGCGATTGAAAGCGCTAACTACCAAATGAATGTCTGGGGAAATGAATGCATCCCATCAGACTGCCGTCGTCCTATTTCTTGTTCAACATCATCGGATCGTCCATCCGTTCGGACGGGCACTAAGCCCACATTTTACCCTTCATGATCGACACGTTCATAGCTGTGCACGGGACGCTCGCGATGCCGTGCGGTTTTTGTGGAAACGCGAACCCATGTTTTGGACAATAGGAATATAAGTAAGAAACTTGTGCTAACACTGACGGCGTTGTGGCCCTCGATTCCGGATCCCAAGTCTTGGTCTTTGCTTGTGAGCCAGACCCGTGGTGCTGGGCATGGATACCCAAGAACCTTGGCATAAAAACGCGCACCCGTCACCCCGCGTCTTACTATGGAAGTTGATGATCATCACCCTACGTTGACCCAAATCCTGAGAATATAGGCAGCCTAAGCAACGGCCTCTGGAAGACCGGAGTTCTCATGATGCATCATCTTGAACAGCGGATCCCAGACAGGCACCGGGCTCATTGTCGACTTGCCGTACACCAATGGGACCACATCTTCGGCTGAGCATTCGAGGGCTTCCCCGTTGAGACTCTCATCATCCAAGAACTTGTTGAATGCGGATACGACAGTCGAGAGTTGCGTGATACTAGAGACTGCTATTAGCAAAGCACTGAAGGAAGTGTTCTGGGTATGCTTCTTACCACTCAGGAGGTACTGCGGCGATCGCACCAGCAGGCAACAAAGGCGTCCGAATGACGCCAGGCAAGACGGCATTGATGCGAATGTTTTCTTTCTGTTGGTAGGTCAGATATAATGTACCATGCCTGTGGTCCACAAAAGTCTTTAACATACAATCTTGAGCACGCGGGATGCCCCGCGCACGAAGCCGACCATACCAGCTTTCGTGCCGCAATACTCCGGAGCAGCTTCGTGGGGGATGACAGCCGCATTGCTCGATGTCGCAATGATGCTACCTCCAGGGGTCTCATTCTTCCGCATGAAATGGATGGCCAGCTGCGTGCCGTACACCAACCCCTTGAAGTTAACATCGGTGCAGCCCATGTTGGGCTTCGGCGGCAACTCGTCAGACCCTCTGTGGTTCAGAATGTAGATTGAACCCTTGTCTACAACGCCTGCGTTGGCTAGCAGTGCATCGATCCTGCCGTACTGATCCCACACGTCCTGGAATGTCTTCGATTGTTCGCTGTAGCTGGAGACGTCCGTCTTGTGGAAGCTCGCATTGTCGCCTAGCTCCTGCAGCAATTTCTCGTTGGTGTTGATGTCGGCCATTGCAACTTGCCAACCCTGCTTTACAAGATCCCTGCTCAATGCCTCGCCTATGCCTGACTGCGAAAAGTGTCAATTCACTCGATGGACTGGAATGAGAAATATGTCAGAGATTCCTTACCGATGCCCCAGTCACGATCGCGACCTTTCTGCCCGATCTCCTTGATTGGGCAACGTCGGCTTTCCCTCTCAGACCAACCGCCAGCGTCTTCATAGGCTGGGGTCTCTTTGGTGTCTTTCCATGGTGAACATATCGAAGTTGATGAGTTACAGGTGCTTGGATAGGAAACGCCCTCGTGGTTGCGAGTCTGGTCATACGACCAACAGTGTATGCCCGAAAAAGCATTGTGTAAAGTCTGAGAATATCCAGATTGCAGACTCAAATGAGACATTCGAGGGGAGTCCGCCTTTAAAACAGTTCAACTTGAATAGCGGTGGTCCAATTCTCACTCTACAACTTGCCGACCGCCTTTCATGTATGACAACTCACAACCAAACATACAGAGTGGCGTCCAATAAGGATGGGATTTGCGTCGTTGTCTCAGCTGTTTGTTGCTTTCTTGGGTTGCTTGTTGGCGGGAAAATAGAAATTCTGCAGCAGAGATAATGTAGGATAAAGCCAGTCAAGCTGTTAAACGGGACGCCGTCGTTGGCAAACATCAACCACCTGACGGTACCTTGTCGCATACGACACGGTGTCGACCAATGAACTCGCTTGTCTCTACAACACTGCGGGGTGATCATATTGTCCGTCTGAAGACAGTAAATTCTTCTGGGAATCATATTTGTTCGTGCCTCGATCAGCAACAGACCAGATATGCGCATTAACCAGGCTCGCGAGAAACGCACTGAAGAACGGCAGACCGCTGAAGTTGGATATGAAATGGCGTCTTTGAGCTTGCTGGCTGACATTTTATGGCCCGTTTGAAATATCCAACTCAGAGTTGAAGCGAATATGCGAGCGAGTTGCCCAGGCCGGATCGGCTTATCAATCAATGGCATCGTTCCCGATCTCGGGACGGACGCGGAGTAAACGGACCCACGCGGAGAAGCAACCGGACAGCCAGATCCCTGCCATCTCGCCCGACTCCACCTATCGGACTGCGTCAATTTGTTATCGCAACCTTCTTCGGCAAATGGCTCGAATCGCGTCTGTCAAGCCGTCCTACCACGATAAGCATACACCCGCCGGCCCGGTCTATTAACTCAGTCTCGTCAACTCCAACGTGAACCCGGCCCGGTCAGTTGGCGATACTCTTTAAGTCCTATCCCCCTCAACTCCAGCTTGGCAATAGACCGTTCGTAAACCCCGCAACAAATTTCTCCGCAAACAGCTTTTTTTCTGCAACCCTAACGATGGGCGACCTTGCGCCCCAAAAGAGCCCGTTGGCCAACGACATCCTCCTCGTCTTCCTTTCATCACCGCGCAACGAGGAATGGATCAGCAGAGTCGAGTCAAACTACCCGGGCCTCCAGGTCCGCTGGGCCAACAACCACCTGCCGGACGGCCGCTTCCTGTTGCCGGATGAGCTGCCCGATGAGGTCTGGGACGGCGTCACGATGATCATCAGCTTCAATCCCCCGTCGCTCGAACGACTCAAGAACGTCCGCTTCGTGCAGTTGACATCTGCGGGCGCTGACAAATGGCGCGATCACCCGGTGTACAAGAACCCAGACATTCCGTTTTGCACGACCAATGGATGCCATCCGTGAGTTTAACCCGCGCCATTGCTAAGGCTGAAGACCATGCGAACTAACACATTGGGAATAGTCCTCAAATTGCAGAGTGGGTGATCGGCAGCTGGCTCGCCAGCCAGCACCACTTCCTGCGTTACGCAGAGAACCAAAAGCAAGGCTTCTGGGAGGGACCGATGGCCGTCGACTTTGAGGACTCAGTCGGCCTGCGCATGGGAATTCTCGGCTACGGAGCCATCGGTCGCCAGTGCGGAAAGATTGCGCAGGCCATGGGTATGGAGGTATACGCCTTCACGCGCAGTGAGAAGGCGACCCTCGAGTCTCGCAAAGATGACAGCTACGTTGTCCCCGGCACCGGAGACCCAGACGGCCTCGTCCCCTCGAAATGGTTCCACGGCGCTTCCAAGGAGGCCGTCAACAACTTTCTTGCGCAAGACCTCGATCTTTTGGTCATTGGCATGCCGCTGACTTCAGAAACGACTGGACTCATTGGAAAGGAGCAATTTGAGATTTTGTCCAAGAAGAAGACTTTTGTTTCGAACATCGCCAGAGGGCCTCTAATTCAGACAGATGCGCTGATAGAGGCGCTTGAGACTGGCAAGATCAGGGCTGCCGCTTTGGATGTGACGGATCCCGAGCCGCTGCCGAAGGACCACCCCCTGTGGAAGGCACCGAATGTTTTCATCACCCCTCATGTGAGTTGGAGGACAAATGGATACTGGGAAAGAGTGTTGGGCGTCTTGGAGACCAATCTGGGAAGGATGCACCAGGGAAAGCCTTTGATCAACGTTGTGAACAAGCAGTTGCATTACTAGACTTTGCTAAGAATAATCAGATGATGCTAGGGCGACCTAAAATTCTGCCACCACACGAAACTTCAATGTTTTACCAGTACCTTTCTTCCCTTCTAACTTTTCTTCTTCGCAGTTTGCCGCCTGGAGGCGCACCTTGTTGACTGCCGTATGACTCTGACGGGGAAACATGTGGAGGGAGCGTAGGGTCCTCATGTTCCCTTTAGTCATACAAGTATTCACAAAAGAATTATTCACAAAATGGTTTTACCAGTACAATTAGAGATCCGAAACAAAGGTCACCAAGTCCTGACAACCCCTCTTAGCGGCCAACGACAGGACGGTGTTACCAAACTTATCCACTACATTTGGATCCGCCCCCGCTTCCAAAAGAAGCCGCGCAATTTTCTCGTTGCCAGATTCCGCAGCTTCGTGGAGTGCAGTTCTACCTGTATGGCTGTCGGCGATGTTCACCTTGGCGCCATGTTCCAGGAGGAACTGCACTCCGTCCTCATACCCAATCTGCGCAGCAGCTTTGTGCAGGACGGTCTGGCCGGAATCATCACGATGGTTGACCTCAGCGCCGTACTCGAGAAGCAGACGGACGAACTCAAGCTCCTTGGACCCCACAGCCGACCACAAAGCAGTTTGGTTCCTAGATTCCTCTGTGAGGTTAGCATCGGCACCGCCCTCGAGAAGAAGTTTCGCCATCTCTAAGTGGCCTCTCCAAGCTGCCATGTGCAGTGCTTCTGAGCCGCTGGCATCAATTTCGGCACCGCTTTCGAGGAGAAGTTTCGCCATTTCGAAATGACCTCCCCAAGCTGCCGACGCCAGTGCCTCTGACCCACCGGCATTGATTTCGACACCGTGGTCGAGAAGAAGCTTCGCCATTTCTAAACCGCCTCCCCAAGCTGCTATATGCAGCGCCTCTGAACCGCTGACATTGATTTCGGCACCGTTTTCGAGGAGGAATCTCGCCATTTCTATATCACCTACTTCCGCTGCCGCGTCCAATGCCTCCCCAGCGCTGGCATTAATTTCGGCACCGTGATCGAGAAAAAGCTTGGCCATATCTACCTGGCCTGTTCTTGCCGCCGCCGTCAGTGCACCTCCGTCGTAGCCATTGACATCGGCATCACGGTCCAGAAGACACCGCACGAGCTCCATATCATGGGCTTTTGCCGCAACAAACAAGGCTGTGGTGCCGCCGGTGATTTCGTTAATGTCTGTGGTGGGATCCTGAAGTATGACAGACACCACCGAGGACAGTCCGTAATGAATTGCAAACTGAAGAAGATTATCCCCAAAGAAACCTCTGCCTCCAAGATAAGCGGAAAATTGTACAGCGTGGGGGCGAAACCGAAGCATTGCGCTTACAGCTTCTGGCGGTATTTGTTTGCTTTCTCGGAAGTGATCTGGCCAAAATATCGCCGCATAGCACGCCCAAGGGTACATGTACATGATTTTCGTATCGGGCTCGCAGGACCATATACTTGTATAGGAATCGTTTGCTTGCACTGCGGCTGAGAACTTTTCCAAGATGGCCAGGCAAATCCATGTTGCCTTGGTGTTCATGTCTTGTTCTCGCATTTGGTATTGAGCGACATTTTCCCGCTCCTTAATGCGGTCCGATTTGAGGTACTCCTGAACTGAGAAGTGCGCGAGTCGTACATATAAAGTCTCCTCCCGATTCGCATCACGGCCCTCATAAAGTTCAATAAAGCCAGGACAAACTTCAAGAACAGCATCTGCATCATGCAATCTCCGTTTGTCTTTGAATACTGCCACCGGGTGGAGGCTATCCAAAAAGAGACTGTCTGAGCCAACATGGTCTGATTCGGCATCTTTTGCGTCGGTATCGTCGGACTTTGACCCAACTGGATCGAGATCAACTGCCATCCCATAGATGAGCTCCTCTATGGTCAAATTTCTCTTGGCGCAGCATAGCAGCATTAATATCTGCTCGGCGTAATCTTGAGAGGCGGGCGGTATTGCAAGAAGCATCCTCTCATAGGTATCATCCAATGTTCGGGGAAGCGAAGTAAGGAGTTTATCAAGATGTTCTTCTGTTCGAGGGCAGACAGCGATTTCTCGTAGTTGACAGTCAACCCACCTGAAACTGCACGGTGTTAGCAGCAGCATTTCCTGAGAGCTTTCATAACCTACACTCCATCTGCTTGGGTTGTTAAAGTGGTTTCGATCCGTCCATGAAACCCTTTCCACTTACGTAGCTGTGGCTCATTCCGAAGACTTTGCGTAATATGAAGCGCAATGTCTTGATCGGAAGCCAGATTTCTGACCGCAACTGATTCGGTTGGCGATGGATTGAGAGCGTCTCTGATGTCGACTTCGTCCCGACTGGTGACCAAGAGATGGATTGAAGTCTCCATCCACCCGCGTATCGTCGTTAAAGTATCCAGTACATCCTGGCGATGCTTGCCCCGTGGACTTTCATCGAGGGCATCTATGATAATATATGTATGCTCGAATGACCGCGATAGATGGTGCAGGCAGTCAAGCAGAGCTTGATTTCGTGGTGCTGAGTTGCGGCAGCTGTTGTATAGACGTGAAATGTGTGAGGAAGGCGAAATGTCACCTTGTTGCCCGGACAATTGCAAGATCAGAGCACGCAAAAGAGCTGACACATCTTGTTTCCCAGTATCGTCGAAAGCGAAGAAGAAGAAGGCAACACCATTAATTTGGCTGGAATTCTTATCCTGTGTAGACTTCTGGTACTGGAGAATGTGTTGGATGGCCGTGGAGCATAAGATCGATTTGCCACAGCCGGCGAAGCCATAGAGCCACAAAAACGACTTCTCTTGTTCAAACCAAGCATTGAAGCGCCAGTCATCAATGAGCCAAGAACCCGTCCCAGGCTGCGACTTTTCCCGAGCAATGATGAAGTTCGTAGTGGCATCTGGTGCATTGAGCCAGTTGATGATGTTTTGGGCCACGTCTTTTGCCCGGTGTGATTCAAGCAGATCTTTTGTGTCCTCAACATTATTGCGAATGCTGCTGGTATCTTCGTTCTGTAGTAGCTGCAACGAGAAAAGCACATGCTGGCAGATCTTGTCAACATTTCCCTCAAGCTTCTGTAGCGTGTTCTGCTGAAAAGGGTATGTAGCTCGTCGCACTTTTGCTTTCAAAGCAGCCCTGAAACCATTGTCTTGAGAATGATTAAACTTGTCGGCCGCTTTCTTCAGCTTCTCGACGCATTCTTTGCATTCAAGTATACGACCCTCGATGCAAGCCAAGATGTTTATGTTGTTAGAATGAAACCTTCGAGCGTCAAGCTGCCTCCTCAGGTTACCGAGCAGATCGTGAAGGCGGAACAAGCTGTCGCGGATGCGAGCGATGTCGGAACTCTGGTCCTTCAGAGTGCTGCAGTACTCGTAAAGACCTTTGACGACTTCAAGCCCAAGCGAAACGATGCCCACGACGCCCGAGGCGATTGAAAAAGGATCTGACATACCTCGAGAACGCTGTTAATATCTAGACAAGAGCTACAGAAAGTCGCGAGCTATGCCTTGGGTGACTAAAAATGAGGGGAAGATGGTGATGGTAAAGGAGAGGTAAGCACAGCCTGATTCTCCCTCACCCATTTCCCCCAAATACCCAGTTAAGCCAATAGATAGGTAACACTACAATGCAGGTAAGCAGTATTACTCTTGGGCTATCGACGGCATCCACTCATGCATGCCGAGGTTTCCTGGCGCGTGATTGGCAGAGTGTGAAGTGTCCATAGGCTTGATGCCTACACACCTACAGCCGACAAACATAACAGGCGAGGGAGTACAGAGGATATTACTTGGCAGACCTTAGGCGGGAGACCAAAAGGTACAGCGGCGTGAAACAAACCCGGAACCAGTACTTTTTGGGCGGAACAGTTTAATGCAATATCCGTACTTTATGTTTATATCCTTGAATTCGGCCCAAATTGAAATCTACCACATGTTACCACTCCTAGGTTTCCAGCTCCACCACCCACTAGATCTGTCGACTTTAGGTAGAATAAGATATATCGTAGGCTCTCATCTCTCTCAAACTTTCTGGGCAGGGGTGATTATCAACTGAGAGCCCTGGTCATAGACAGTACTATGTACCTTTCTCTAGTCTAGCGCTGTGCAGCTTATGCTCAGAGATTAATGGATCTAATTGAATAAGAACTTTATAGATTGTATTGGGGTGCGGAATGTAAAAGTAATGAGATGCTGCGGTATTGCGACACTATCTCAACGCTTATTTGCCACTTCAGTGTGTATCAAAATCGTCATCAATATTCTTACTTCCGTTCTTCTTCAAGCTCAATCGCCTCCTCCTTGTCGTCAATACCTTTTTGCTCCATATTTCCCTCCACCGCCGCATCACCAAAGACAGCTGCAATCTGTTCCAGACTAAGTTGATTCGTCTCAGGCAGAAAAAAGTAGTAGACTAGGCCAGCTGAGACATTCGTGGCGATGAAGATGAAGTAGAACTTCCACTCTAGCGCCTCAAAGGCCGTGGGTGAGACCTGGCTCAGCCAGATGGCAGTAACAGCCTGAGTGAAGATGGCAAAGCCGACCCCAGTGCCTCGCAGATGCAGCGGGAAGATTTCTGAGACCAGCACCCAATTCGTGCTGTTGAAGAATACGGCATACAAGAAGGAGAAGATGAAGATGAAGGATACACCGGCCGAACTCCCTGTCAAGTTCCGGTCATCGGGGTAATACTTTGATAGAGCCAACAGAATTGCGAGAGTGGCCGCGAGTGAAGCTGTTCCCGTACCTATTGGGCTTGTCAGTCACGTCTTCGAGGTCCTTTTGCCGCATGACTTACACATGGTCTTTCGACGGGACCAGGTGTCAGATACCCAGATCAGATTGAATATTTGCCCAAGGATACCCATGGTACCATAACATCCAGCGATGAGAAGAACCGTCTGGCCTTTGAAGCCGAGGGCCGCGTACATCAAGCTCTGGTAGTTCTGGATGACCTGAGATCCCGATAGCTTCGTCATGTTCACGATGAGACATGCCAGCAGCATCCGCCTTGCGTACTGTCGAGTGAAAAGAATCTTCAACGATGATTGGCGACGGAGGTCGGCTTCTAGCGCAAGCTGATCCCGGATCTCAACATACTGGCGCTGGACGAAGTCTTCGCCGCGGGCACCGTGGAGTCTGCGAAGAACTTTTACCGCATCTTCATGACGCTCTTGTTTGACCACTTTAATGTGTTATTAGCAAGGGCTTCAGCCAACGGACACGTTCCACTTACACCATCGAGGGCTGAACGGCATTGCAAACACTAGCAACCCAAGTCCAACGGCAGGCGGCGCCTGCATCGCCAGTGGAATCCTCCACTGCCCATTTCCGCTCGCGAATGACCCCGCATACCCAATCCAGTTGGCGACGAAGAAACCGCCCGCATTCGTAAGCCCCTTCAGCCCGACCAAAAAGCCCCGGTTCTCAGGCGGAGATATCTCGGCGAGGTAGATTGGCGTGACGGAGTACAAGACGCCCGTCGACCACCCGCTGAAGATGCGTCCCGCTATCATCATACCCGGGTTCACGGCAGCCGCCTGCAACGCCGCGCCGAGAATACTGACCACGGCACCGATGAAGACGGTGTAGCGTCGGCTCCATTTGTCCATCAGCCAGCCGGACTGCAAGCCGCCGATGCAACCGCCGGCATAGTATGAGGCTACGATGCCGCCGACGAGCGCGGGAGGGCCTTGAGAACCTCCGTACATGTACGTTTTGAAGGTGGACTGGCCGATTGTTGTTGCTATGATGCCGGTGTCGAGGCCGTAGAGTAAACTGTTACGTGAGCTAGACGGAATTTGAGAAGGACCCGGGAATCACTGACCCTCCCATGCTAATCCCAATGGAGGCGAGAAGAGCCTGCTTTGTATTGCCATGGTGGCCGCGGAGTGCTTTGGGACCTCCCATGTGTGCAGACGTGAGTATTCAACTCTGCACGGCCCGTGTTACTCCGGAAGAAGTTTGTGAATGACGATGTTGAGAACGCTCGTATTAATTTAAGTCTGCAATGGCAGTTTAATACTGCTCTCCGCTTGTGTGACTTCCCCAGATCTTCGCTTGTAACTCCGCGTCCCCCCCGCACCCCGCGAATACTTCCCCGGAATCTGCCTGCCGATGTGACTCTAACGCAAGGGTGAAATAGGATTACCAGCATATCCACCTTTGCCTTTTCCGTCACCTATTTGGGGAAAGAAGCGGCAGACTTGCTCCCGGATTTGAAATAATTTGACCTCATAAAGCAACACAACCGCATGGCCTGCATTGCGAAAGGTGTTCCACTTCATCTCAGTCTCTACGCCACCCTTCTAACAAACATTATTCCGCTGAAATGTGGAAAGTACATGGTTCGAAATAAACAACGGTCTATTAGCTATGCAGTTCTATAGAAAAAACAGTCTATCTAGGATTTCCCGATCACGTTGCGATCTAAATCAAGCAAACCAGTGAAAACACCTTTTTATCCGCATCGACCATACATGTGCCTGACCCCACCTCAAGGCAATTTCAATAACTGTACCTCTGGCTAAACGTACCATGCAAAACGAAAAGATCTTGGGGAACAGCTCCAACCTTTTGCGCTCTAGTCCGCACGAGCTCTCATGCAAGACTCCCCATCCCCGAATAGGAGATTCATAATGTGTGCGTGGTTGTTGATCATGAGTTCGCTTCTACCCTGGGCTAGGCGAGAAGCACTCTCCATGGCGATGTCGCGCGCACTTTTCTGCGACCGGTTTTGGCTCATTGGATCGGCTCGATATTGAAGCAGAAGTGCGATTGCTCCTGCATTCCCGGACAACACAGCGTAGTCAAGAGGACTAAACCCCTGGGCGTCGCGTTTGTTGACCAGAGGTCTAGCCCCCTGGCTCAGAAGGAAATTGAGAGCGTTGACTTGCTGCTGGAAAGTCGATGTTCTGCGGACGGATAGAAGCTTCGTCAAGACGGTGTCTCCGGTTGATTTGCCGACCGACTTGAGTTTATGGCCCTCTTCTTTCATCGCAAGAACAAGACCGAGGAGGCATTTGTTGCGCTTATCGCTTGGGGCTTTCAGACACTCCAGAATAGGCGACTCGAAGAGCGAAGAGTGTTGTTTGAACTTCGAGGCGCTGTTCTTAAGTATATCAAGAACCTCTTTGACCTTTTCGTTCTTGCATCCCTTCTTCAATTGTTTCTCAAGCTTCTCTCGAGAACCTTGTGACCAGATTTTGAACCCAAGCGCCAGGTCGGCTTCGGGCTTCTCGTCCGATGACAAACTTTCCCAAGAAAGATCTGCCGGTCGAGGAATAGGGCTACGTTGAGTTCGCCTTGGAGGCACGATTGGCGGAGGAGGTGGATTGCAAGGCTCTGGGACGTATGGGTTTGCCGGCAGCTCATAGACCGGGGGCGTTGGAAGTGGCGGCGGCGTTAGATCGAAGTTGATGGGAGATTCTGGCATTTGTTGCTGACGTTGAGAGTGCCAATGAGCTGGCTGCCGCTCCGCAGCAGGAAGCTCTACAGGACCAAGCAGCACAGCTGGAACGTCAGAGGCTTCGAGCTCGGGGTAGAGCAGCCGGCTACCGATCTCCCGGCCAGCCGTGTGTGGATGCGCAGACGATGGCCGGTATTGCACGATATGTCTGCCCCCTCTGTGAGCTCTGCTACCTGGAATGATGTCGTGAAGTGACCCAGATCCGTCGTCACTCGTTGTTGGTGTTAGACCAACATCCGAGTTTCCATTATGCGACCAGCCGGTTGAAATAGTCGACGGCAAGTAGGAACTGGTGCTCCTGGAGTTCCCAAATAATGCTAGAGAGTTCGAATTGTCGTCTGAATCGTATTCATGTCGGTAGTCACTAGGCTGAGAGTCTGGGTAGGTTCCTGGGAGATCTCGCCCACCATTGTAACGGACTCTTCTCGGACGGCGGGGTGAATGACCTTCTTCAGGTCTAAGTCGATGATAACTAAGACTGTCGGCAAAATCTTGATCGTCTCGGTTGATCGAATCTGGTCGGCGGCCATTCTGAATAGGATAATTGAGCGGGTTGTGCGGATGATGTGGGCCTCCGGGTTGGTTTCCATGAGGACGGGCAGGGCCTCCGCCCCCGCGGCCGAAGAGCCATTCCGATAACCAGTTGGAGGTCATCAATCAAGTTTGTAAGAAAAGTAATGACTAGTGATTTCTCTAGAGATCTATCCTTTGCCAATGATATGTGTTTATGGCGGATTTCTGGGTGATTGGTAGCTTCCTCGACCACTTAGAGGAAAACATGTCCATTATATGTGCTCCACATCTATAGCTGTTGGACGGCGGAGCAGCGGGATCGCACTTACTGGGAGGCCTTCCACTATTTCTCGGTGAGAATGCTGTGAAACCCCAATTAGCTACAGAGTCTGCCTTCACCTGGCTTTGGGGGCTGCTAGTTGGGAGAAAGATGGTGTAGGGGAATAGCACACCTTGGATCCTGCAGCCTTATCCGCTGGTGAGTTTTGCTCACTTAAAAGGTCGCCCGACTGGCTGCCACCCTCCATGACCAATAGTATATATGGTGCCAAGCTATCCTAGAACAAGGCTTAGCACGATTAAATCTACTTTTTTGGCCCTCAGCTATTGAGGCTTCCGGTTGCCTCTCTTGAGCTTGCATAGTTTTCCGCAGTTTTGCACTTTCTGTGTAGCTCGAAGATTTTCTCTGCAAGTTTTCTCACGCCGAGCTTGATCAAATGATGCAGAGGCATGCTTTTCACGCGGTGTTTTCACTGACTGCTTCGCGTCATCGGACAGCGCCCCAGCAGGACCGACGTGGCAGAAGCCACCGCTAGATGCCCCAACTTCCTAAGCCACATCGTCGGGTTGAAGAGTCCACGAGCACCGTATTCTTCACCGCCGTCTCGGACCTCAAGTACGAAATAGAAAAAGAAGTAGCAGAAGAAGCGCGATGCAAAAACTATGGTATGACGAGCTTTTTGTCAGCTCGTTGCCTGGGGGAGACCACCATCCCAACGAGCACTCATCGATACGCAGCTTGGCGCACTCGGCAGAGTATAAGCCACCCAGTAAGTATACGGAGAAAGATCTCTTAGTTTCCATGCAGTTCCAAAATACGAATCCTCTGGAGCAGCACCGGCTGGAAACGAGTACCTACAAGTCTGTTCCGGCCGGAGATCGGGTCCTGTCCCGTTCCAGAGTGGATATTCCGGGAAAGTGGGCCTCGGCCTGATCCTAAGCAACACCGGGCATTGAACAAGCTCTGGGACATGGACCCTGATGACATTTCAATCGCGACCTCTTTGATCCAAGACATAAAAGTCGCCCATTTCGGAGAAGTCTGCTGACCGCAAACAGAAATTTCATTGCAGGTCATTAATAGGCGCTAGGCCCTCTCCGGTCCTACAACCCTTTTTCCCTTCAAAGAATTCCGCTAATTTCAGGCGCCCCCCATGTCAGCTACTTGAGACATCATCGGTCTGGCCAGAACTTGAAAGCAATCGGCATCAAACCAGTCCCGGCCCGGTCATCTAACCACCTCTACATCGCATTTCAGTCAACCGCGAACTTCGCACTCGGCCTGTCAACGCACTTTCGCTGATTAAAGCGTTGACTCTTTCTTGATCGACGGGGTCTTTGAGCTAAAGCTTCTAGGCGACGACTCCCCAGTCATCGCGATGCGTTCAACGCGCAACATCACATGGCTCCTCCCGTTCCTCGGGGTCGTGGTTACCCAAGCATCGCCGATAGAAACCGTCCCGACATGTGCAGTATGAAAGCCTATGCGACTCTACCCTTCGACCTGTAGCTGACTGAACGATAGCAACCATGCATCGCCGAAGGTTTGAATAGGACATCCTGTCCTACGGCGAATCAGACGTGTCTGTGCCAGGATGCGAACTACATCGATTTTGTGGAAGACTGCGTTCTCGATCATTGCTTGCCAATCGACGCCCTAGGTAAGTAAATCTCCTCTTCAGCTAGAAGCCATTAATAAGACCCGATAGCCACGCAGAACTACAGATGGTCCGCGTGTGGGTTTCCACTGGAAAATGATTTCACCTCGACAGCAGTTCCTCGGCTGGTCATGTTTTTCGTGCTGCCTACTCTGTCGATAATCATACGGTTGGTCGTCAAGTTTTCACGTGTATCCGCATGGGGTGCCGACGATTTGATGATCCTGATAACCTTTGTGAGTAAGCCCAATTAGTAGTCTTATCTTGTCTGACTCTCGGACGCAGGGTTGTTTAATCGCGTTCGTGCCGTTGAACGCAAATGGTAAGTGGACATAACCTCGGAAAACTGCTTTGGTGTTCTTAGTAGCTAAAATTTGCTTCTAGCAGGAAGAAGCGGTGCCGGCCAAGACATGTGGACTTTGACTGTTGATCAAATCACGGAATATTTCAAGGTGAGTATCTGTTATCCTACATATGAAGCAATATCTAACACGAAATAGAACTTTTACGTCATACAAACTCTATATTACAGCACCATAGCTTTCCTTAAGGCGTCCATTCTCTTCATGTACCTACGAATCTTCCCTGGCGAGCGGTTTCGGAGAGTCCTTTGGGGCACACAAGCGCTCAATCTGGCAATCGGTGTCACCTTTGTTCTTCTCGGAATATTCCAATGTCGACCCATCCACCTTGCTTGGACGGCTTGGAGAGGCGACTCCGAAAGCAAGGGCACATGCATGGAAGTCGTCATCATTGCGATGGTTTACTCGGCAATCCAAGTTGGACTGGACATTTGGATGCTCATACTACCTCTCACGCAGATTCTGGGTTTGAACATGAAGTGGAGCAAGAAATTTGGGATTATGTTCATGTTCAGCTTGGGGCTTTTGTAAGTGGCTCGAGTGAAGTCTCCAAAGTGAACTGGTTTTGGCTAACTTCGATCCTCCCACCACAGTCTCACAGCAGCTAGCACCATCAGGCTGAAGCTTCTTGTCGACTACCATCAGGGAACACACAATTTCACAGGTAATTAATTCAACCCCAGCGCTTCGTTATTCTCCTTGCTAACTTGGATAACAGTGGGTTCGCTACAAATTGCTATATGGTCGGACATTGAGCTTTGCGTGGGTGTTTTCACGGCATGCATACCGACCACGTGGCAGTTCTTCGCGTCTTCATTTTTAGAAGGGCCGATGGATCGGCTAGTTTACACTCAGAACACATCCATGGCAGGAGCCTCGAAGGCAGCCCTAAGCGATCTACAAGGCAGACCGCAGACGCGTTGGATGAGACTAGTCCGGATACACCCTGACGTGAATTGATTTATTAAATAATACCTGGTGTCGTTCTTCAAGTCCGACAACGATTCTGCGTTTGTCCTCGTGAGATGTGTCTGATGGATGGCGGAGCGTTGCCTCTCACCCTGGAGAATCGCCCACCCCATAAGCACTAGCCTCGACTTTCAGGAAAAGCCGAGGAAACGTTTTCAGCGGGGGTTAATTTGACGTTTATTATCCACAGTCTCGATACTATCAGTAACATGGTCCGTGGGTGTCAGCGACTTGCAGCCGGTGGGATGAAATGTGCCTTCAACAATGGGTCATGGTCTTGATGATAGGCATGGCACCGGGACTGCCTTGTTTCGGGGGAATAGAATATCCAATAAGAGTCGACATTGCCTTAGGTTACCTCGGGCATCCACCGATGTAGTGCAAAAGCTGATATCGGCCCATCAAAACCGTCAGCTTCATTGACTTTCTCAGGGCCCCACGCGACGTAAGTCCGGACCCCGTTGAATAAAGATGTATGGAACCAGAAATATTGCAAATACCCGTCAGAAGTACAACTATAAAAGCCTCCCGTAGGATTTATATGATAATAAGTCCACTCTCATCATCATAGTCACACATCCAACATTCCTCTGAACTTCCGACGACAATGAAGGTCTTCCTAACGGGCGCCAGCGGCTTTTCGGGAGCTCACTGCTTGTTACGCTTCTAGATGACGGGTACATTTTAGTCACTCTCTTCGATATGAAAGCCAATGGATGGAACACTGATACATCTTTTGCATAGTCACGATGTCGTTGTCGCGGTCAGATCGGACTCGAAGGGCCGCGATATCCTGGCTCTTCATCCTAACTCAGGACTTCAGCTCTCTTACACTGTAATTCCAGACATGATAGTGGATGGAGCTTTTGACAAGGCTATTCAAGCAGAGCCAACCCTGGAGGCAGCATCCACACTGCAAGCCCTTTCCACTTCCAATCCAAGGATGCCGAGACCGAGATGCTAAACCCGGCCATACGAGGCACCACGTCTCTTCTGAGCGCCGTCACTGCGTATGCTCCGAATGTGAAGAGGGTTGTGATTACCTCCTCTGTCGCTGCAGCGGTCAACATCAAGGCACCTCCTCCGGTCTTGACCCCTGAGATGTGGAACCCGGTCACTCGAGAAGAAGCCTCATCGAACCCATTCTTCGCATACCTTGCAAGCAAAACATTCGCAGAAAAGGCAGCCTGGGATTTTATCGACGAAAAGAAGCCCCACTTTGCCCTGTCGACGATTTTGCCGCCTCTTATCCTCGGACCGGTTGTGCACCAACTTGATAACCTTGGTTCAATCAACACCTCCAACTCGGCGTTCGTCGATATCATCGACATCGAGTGAAAATGGAAGAAGTCGATTCCTCCCAGGGGGTCTCCTCAGTGTGTTGATGTGCGGGATGCTGCGTTCGCTCATGTTAAGGCACTGGTCGTGCCCGAAGCCGCTGGCAAGCGGTTCCTCCTCTACGCGGGTGACTTCAGCAACGCTGAGATTGCTCGCATTGCCCGAGATAATTTCCCAGAGATGGCTGATAAGGTGCCCGCGAACATCAGGAGCGACGTACCCGCCGCCGATGCTAGTATTGATGCCGGGTTGTCGGAGGACATTTTGGGTGTGAAGTACTGCTCTCTGAACGATAGTGTGGTCGATTGCATCAAATCTCTGTTGGGCCGCTAGAAGGCCATAAATGTCCATAGAACCGAGCCATCTGGCGATCAATGAACTCTCTCCAGCACATGGCCATTCATGCTGGTGACCATACCTTGGTTTGTTGAATGTCTGGCGAGCCCTCAATTATCTTTCATTTCCGGCGTTCGGGAAACATGAAACGTTCTGAATAGTTTTATCTACCCTGAAAATTGGTAACGTTCCTTTAGCGCGACCCCAATCCTTTGACAGGGTCGTTGTGGAGATCTTCCGAGCACGTCATGATACCTGATATCGCGACACGTCGAGAGCGCCGCTACCGGCATAGGGAACTCGAGACTCTGTAAAAGTACACGGATTTCCTTATTTGCCTTCACTGACGAGCGCCTAGCATTGCAGCTTCCTACAATTGATCGATCAAGTCTACAAAGCAGCTGAAACGGTAGACCAGCCATCCGATCATCATGAGCAGCCCCAAACAAGCTCCTCACGAGGAGACCTCACAAGCGACCTTTGAGGCTGATATCGCCATCGTCGGGGAAGCCAGCAATACGAAGCGGATATGGTATAGAACGGTGTTTTTTCAGGCCACCGTCATTGGACTCTGTGCATTCTTTGCGCCTGGGCTGTATAATGCCATGCAGTCTACTGGAGCTGGCGGGCAACAGACTCCATACCTTGTCATGTCCGTATCTCAACCACCATGCTGCGTGGAGTTATGATCTGACCTAATGATAGGTCGGCCAACGCTGTTCTGGGGGTCATGATGGTTGTCACTTGCTCAATGGGAAGCGTAATGGCCAACAAGATTGGACTAAAGAATGCCTTGATATTTGGCACGACAGGATAGTGAGTGATCTATGTCTCCATCTTCGGGGACGTCACTGACAGAGGTCAGCGCTATTTACTCAGCATCGCTGTACACAAACAACAGATATGGCACGGAATGGTTTGTATATCTGGGCTCTGCAGCCTGTGGCATAACAGCAGGCATTTTTTGGGCGGCAGAAGGAGCCATTATGATCAGTTGTGAGTCACAATCATACCGGAGAGCTTAAATGTCCGTCTTGACTGACGCATCTTGCGCCAGACCCCGAAGACCAGAAACGTGGAAGATACCTTGCGTACTGGCTTGCCTACCGTAATGTGAGTTTACCAGAGATTTCAATTCAATAGCAAAACTTATGACTGACAAATTAAGGGTGGATCAATCGTTGGTGGCGCCATCAATCTCGCTTTCAGTATGCACTGCGCCGAGAGTTTTGAAACTTGGTACTGACTGGATCCAGATTCCACTGGGAAAACAACTGGAAAGTTGGATTGGAGAACATACGTTGTTTTTGTGGCTTTGCGTGAGTCGATCCAATGCGATCAATACTGAGAACATCCTGACATGAATAGAATGCCTTGGGCCTTTTGTTGCCATGCTGCTTTCACCTCCTGAAAAGGTCCAGCGTCAAGATGGTAGAAAGGTCTCCAAGGCCGAGCAAATCCCAACAACTGCTGAGCTGAAGGCCGTTGCCAAGATTTTGATTCGGAAAGACTTTCTTCTCGTGTAGGCTAACAATCCCCTCACTTGATATCTCATCTAAACGGAAGCACTGACTAGACTTTAGCTTCCCTTTCTTCTTCTACGCCACATTTCTGCTATCATACGCAGGATCCTATCTCTCACTCTACTTCTCAGTCAGATCAAGAGCTCTAGCTTCCTTGGTTTCTGCATTAGCACAGATCACGGCCAACTTCTTCTTCGGCCACTTTCTCGACTGGACCAGATTCACCATCAATCAGAGGGCCAGATTTGCTTACTTCGGCATGATGGCTCTGTTTGGCGGCACCTGGATTTGGGCAACTGTGATTCAACGGGAGTATGGTAAACGTGCCCCCGCATTGGATTGGGCTGACCATGGCTTCGGCCGGGGCTGGGCTCTTTACATTGTGCTTCAAGTGAACTTGTGAGTGTTTCATTAAGTATAGCCTAGCAGCGATACTGAAACTAACTAAACCATCAGTGCTCTGGCATACAACTATGGCTATTGGCTGGCTGGATACATGGCCCGAGGTCCTGCTGAGGTCATTCGTTTTACTTCAACTGTTCGGGCTGTTGAGGCAGCAGGGGGTGCCGTGGCATCTGGCATCAGCTCTACCCACGCGCCTTTGCTCGCTGCTGTTGGAGTCAACTTTGGGCTATGGGGTTTGGCACTTATCCCTACCTACATAGTCGTGAGGTCTCTTAACATCAAAGATGAGACATCGCGTGATGAAGATGAGGTTAGCAAAAGCACAGACGAGCCCTAACCCACAGAGGTCACAGGCCTGCCATAAGTACGAGGCTACGGGAAAATGAGTAGCCTCTGGTGGAACAATGATGGAATGTTGAACCCATTCAAAGTTTCTCAGTCCATGTATATCTTACAATCAATCGCTGCAATAAATATCTCATAATTTATGCAAGCGCAATGCGCCTTAGACTGATAAATCAGAAAAAATGTGTGGCCTTGAGAAACCCACCTGTAGTCAACCAAAACACGATGGCCTATCCATATTGGTCATTGGACGTCAGAACTAGTGCCGCCAAAGTCCCGATAATTAAGGGACCCGCATCGGACCGCACCCGATCCCGATCTCGCAGTGTCGTGATCTTGCAAAGCGATGATACGTGCCAGTGTAATCATTTGTGGGGTCTATCGGAGCACATAATCGAGGGTACATGTTCCGTAATGCGAGATACCGAATGATGCCATATGCCTAAAAGCTTTCCGTGTCGAAGTTCCATGAACTGCCAAGTTTTGTTCCTTCTTCTTCACTCCTCCTTCGCGTTCAAATCAACAGCAACGACGGAGACTTAATGAGAAACGCCACGTCGGTCTTCAGCATTAAAGCACGAAATGGCACAAGAATCGTGGCGTAAAGGTTTCGAAGAAGAAGGATTTGCTGTCATTCCTGACGTCATAAGTCAGGAAAAGGCAGTCGAATACCAAAATCGCGCCTTCGGCTGGCTCAAATCATTCGACAACCCCTCGCTCGACTTGCAATCCCCTTCTACATGGACGCCAGAAAATCTGCCCTTCATTTCCGGAATCAACACTCTCAATCACTATGGAGTTGTTCACGAGAAGTTCATGTGGGACATCCGTCTCGAGCCCGGAGTAGTCGACGTCTTCTCTAAGATATGGAAAACCAACAAGCTTATTGTCTCCTTCGACGCCCTGAACATCACACTTCCGAGAAGGGCCGGTCATGTTCCTCGTGAGAAGTGGCCCCACGTTGACCAAAGTCCGTACCGAAATGGCCTGCAGTGTGTGCAGGGTATCGTGAACTTATCGGAGTCTGGACCAGAAGACGGAGGCTTGACCGTGTATCCCGGTTCACACAAGGTGACAGAACAATTCTTCCGCGAGAATACTGAGCAATCTGAGTGGACACGAAAAGACTTTTTCAGATATTCGCCGGATCAGATTGCTTGGTTTGAGAAGCGAGGTTATCGTGAGCACAAAGTCATTGCAAGGCCGGGGGACCTTATTATCTGGGATTCGCGACTGGTCCACTTTGGCGCGGAACCTACGGCATCAAGTGACAGAATTCGGACCATAGTCTACGTTTCATATGCGCCGGCCTCATTTGCGACAGAAGAAGTGCTGGCTGCAAAAGCAGAGGCCTTCAACCGTTGGCTCGCTACCACGCATTGGCCCCACGACAATATCGTTCTGAGAACAAATCAGCCCACTCTCCCTGATGGAACCATTGATAAGAGGAGGTCCGAACCTCTTGAGAAGCCAGAGTTAAGCGATGATCTGCTGAGACTTGCTGGGATCAAGGCATACTAGCGGAAGCCTAAGAACGAAGCTGATGCAGATGGAATGAGGCAACAAGCATGTACAACTGGACTCTACGTACTTACGTGTGCCTTAATCACCAGCAAATAGGAAGTAGCGTCTCCTTGCTTATGAATTCACCAATTGACATCATGTACCTAAATAAGCGTAAGAAAACCCAGACACGTCAGTCATGCGACGATGCTGTATAACAATAATTCAAATACTTGACTTCAAAGTATAAATCGCTCACAAAGACAGAGCAATGGTCTTGATTGGGGGATTGAAAGGCAGAGGCTAGAACATTGCTACAAGGAGCAAATTATACTGGAGCTGTCACTTATCACGTTCGAGTCATGTGGTACTGTAAATAGGTAGTTGATATTGAAATAAACAAATCGCTTTTACTTTGGTATCAATGCCGTTCTCAGATGTGAGAACCATCTTTTCTGACGTAAATCCCCTCCACAAACTTGACGCTTACTCGATTTAAGGGTCAAGAAGTGTGACCAAGAATAGGATTCAACGTCGCCTATCTAGCTGTGCGGGACGAAGGCAACCCCGGCGCTGTAGCTCTTACCGCCTACAGGGGGAGTGTCCCTGCAGCTAGAGTCTGTGCCAGTGGCTCCAGCAGCCTGGCACATTTCGCGCCATTGGCAGTTGCTGTATCCGTAAGGATGCCAGTACTTGCCGATTCTCGCACCCTCGGGTCCGATATACTGGCACTCCTTGGCACCATCAGACCAGGCATTGGCATCAATCATCTTCGCCAGCTTTGTGTCGTAGCGGTTGCAGACGGTCTGAGTTGCGGCGTCGTTGGGCTTGCCATCGGAGTTGTAGCAGTGGCAGAAGAGGTAGCCATCGCAAGCAAGCACGCTCTTGGAGAGAGCGACGAGCATAAGGGTGCCAGCAGCGGCGAGAGTGGGGAGTTGCATGATGGAGGTGGTAGGGAATGACTTTTGGGTTGTTGTAAGCGAGTGACTGGTCGTAAACGACTGAATGGTTGGAAACGAGGGAAACGAGTGTCTGTGAGATGCTCGAAGTTCTAGACTGTGACTGTCAAAAATTCAGATGGTTTTATACTTGACCTCCGTTTGCTCGCATTATCCGACTTAAGTGTTGTTTGTGGGACGATTCAGTTGATCCAGGGGTGAAAGCTCAAATCAGATGTGATTGACAGCCCCTAATACAATCGAAACTCTATTTCTTGGGTTGTGCAAGGATGTCATGTTAAGGCATCATGATTCAAGCAGCAGAAAATCTCGCGGTGACGGCGACCCCGAAACCAACGGCCGCAGCGCTGGGCTACTTCGTAGAATAGTACCCTCTTCCCCACAAACCGCACTGTGGGAACCGGGATGGGTAAGGGAAAATTGAATGCAATGCCTCCGCATTCAACGAACGCTAATAAGCCACACAAGTTACTTCCAAGAGCATCGGAGAAACAAGTGAACTGCTGCACTGCTACTTATAGCTTAGAATCACAAAGACCTGTGAAAAAGAGAGTTCATCGCCTGGAAAACTGTCGACTCGAACGACTGTACCCTCATAGATAACTCTTCCAATTTTAACATCAGCGATTATACTGCAAACTTGGACAATACATGTAAAGGATCAGCAAAGCAGATGAAATATCAACTTCCGTAACATCGGCAGGATTCAATTCGCTCAAATGACAAGGTCACCTCATTGAGCAGTATCGACCAATGTCCAGTGTCTATTGGTGCTGGACAGCTTGCATTGTCGTGCATTGTTACTTAGTTCGGCCCCCAAGCTACCAGCCTGGCTCCATCGCCCTCCCCGTTACCCCTGACTCCAGCATATGCTACCTTATGCCGGCAGATCATCGTAAAATACTGCCCGGTTATTAAGTCAGCGTTGCCTGCTTTACTCCACTGTAACCAACGGCATGCTCGTCACAGCACTAGGAATGGACTTCTACGCATGAACTCGTGTTTCTAGCATGGACCAACAGACACTCAAACATCTGCTTGTAGGTACTTACTACCGGTTGAACGAGATGCGGACAAAGCCGATGCCAAGTTGACTTCGATGAACTTTCAGAGTAGGAGTTGCAAATTGTAAGGATCCAATGCAAAATATTGATGTGGCACATTGCTTGTGCATTGATGCCCAGACTAATGACCGACTCTCCATGGTAGACTGAGATCAATCAACGCCTGGTAACTAGGCCAATTCCTTGCCAATCTGATCGAACTCCCGGCGCCACTCCGTAACCTTCTCTACCCTCTTGAAGGGGTCGAAGTTCATTGCCTCGCTGTCGACGAACACGCTGTCGCCAAGAGTAATGGTCCCACGGCCGACAAACTTGCCCAGCTCAAAGCAAGCCCACTTGGAACTGTCGTCAGACCTGTTCTTGTCTTCCCATACCCCAACCTTGAACGTCGCCCCCGGACGGAAGAAGAAGTTCGACCCCCTGGCAGCACCACTGCGCGTCTCCGTGGTTAGGACCTTCGCCTTGGTGTGTGGCTCGGGGGTGTCATCCATGTTGTGCCCCTTCGCCTCGCCATTGCTGTTTCCATTCGCATCCTTCTTTGGACCACGCGAACAAGTAATGTTGGATAGATATTTCTTCTGTGCTTCATTCACAACATTCTTTGCAAAGTTGCTGTTGCCATTGCCGTACCAGTTGCTGCGACCGTTCTGATACCAATCCCTTGGTCCGTTCTTTTGGGTAACTTTGGCCTCCGTAGAAGCAGTCTTCGAAGCATTCTGGCGATGATAGTCGTCGTGAGCAACGATCGCGCCATTCTTGCTGCCGATCTCATTGTTCGGTGGGAAAGGCTGCATCGGGGCCTCGCGAACATCTTCGATGAGCAAGACCAAGGGCTTGTTCCAAATTCCGGGGTCCATGTCATTCTCATTGTAGAACTTGAGGTCACACCGGCCTGCCGAAAGCTGCGTGTTCGGAGCGCGGACGATCACGTGGTCGATGTTTGCCTCCGTTGCTTGGGTGTTTATCAGCGAACCGAATACATGCAATCTGATCGGAGAGACTCACGGGTTCCGTAGAGGTAGAATGGCATGAAGGTGCTCGGATACTCCTCAAGCCGCCACTTGGAGTTCAATGGTCGACTCACAACCGTCTTCCCGAGTGTGACCATGACATCCTGGATGACGATGCCACTGTTGGTGCTATTAGCGACTGCCCCAAACCAAGTTGTGCTTTCCTCAATGAAGTGCTAAGAAAAACGTACGAATCTTCTGTCATAATCTGTCCTTCAAATCTTCCGCCCCGCTCCGCAATGTCTTTAAGCATGACCTTTCGCTTCGTCACGAGAATGAGGGGTTCCGATGGGTTTGAATTCTTCATGTCGGCGTATTTTGCCTCAGATCGATCATCAAATTTGGCAGACATGATGAGTTGCTGTCGATGGTTTGCGACGTGGAACATGGGCCTGTGAATGAGATAGATCTTCTCTGCTCCCTGGATGAGGAATTTGTGGAAGTCTTGAGCCAGCGTGTTGCGTTTGCGAACGACCTGAGAAAAGATGTTAGCAAAAAGCAATTAATGTTGCCAACAGACAGGTTGACGTACCTCAGTCTCAGCTTCAACCACCTTTTTGAACTCCTCGGCAAGATCGTTGGTGAAGTTGCCGTCACTTGGGAACGGAGACATGACGACATTTCGCAAGACCATCAAATCTTGTGTGCTCGGTGCCAGACCAAGTCGCTTCACGAAGTTTGCCTTGCACTTCCCGTAGAGTTCGTCTGAGAACTCGGTAGAAGTGAGGTACAGAGGAATCTTGGTGGGATCATCAGTGGGGCTGTCGACTGAGAATGTCTCCACGACTCTCTGCATGAGGTAGTTGGCTTCTTCGATGTCGTCGTTGAGGCATCCGTCCGCGTATCGAAAGTTCAGTGAGAAAGCATTGATGTTCAAATCAGACCCAAGCGCCCGCATAAGCTTGATAGCCTTCTGGTCGTCAGGTCGGTGCTGGTCGTCTTTCATAATGCTAGCGTTGGTCTTCAGGACGATGTCGGTGCGAATGCGCTTCTTCTCGGCCTCAACTCTGTCTTCCGTCGCATTATCCTCAAGCTCAGATGGAAGCATGTTGAAGGGTACACAGATGAAAGGGCTGGATGCGTCGGTCAGGGATGCCCACTCCGCGGAAAGCTATAGCACAAACATTGTAGTCAGTATATTGAACGATCTCAAACACGAAAGCAGTTCAGATCATACCCGAGTGCAGGTCCAAGTGACCTCTCCCAATAAGGCGCCATATCCCTCCTGGGTAAGACCAATGGTCTTGTTGGAGAGCCAGGCTGACATGGCCGAAGCTCCAGGCTTACTGTCCGCGTCTTAGCTTCACTCGAGGAAAGGTGGTCTCATTTTGGAATGTCACAAACCTTCCCTCAACCCCATAGATGCCGATGCTGGTGACTGATCCACGCGATAGGTAAGGACTTGTCCATGTCACCAAGAAACGCATGCGGTTGTCGCGGTAGCAGAGACCACCCGCGGGGTAAGGAATGTAACCGGCCTTGTGCGGGTCAACAGTAATGGAGTCAGCAAAGCGCATGGCGTACAAATCTTCCTGGGTTTCAGCGCGCAGGCTGGCGTCAGGGACAAACCCATCAGTAGCACCCATCTCAGTGGGAAGGTTGATGACGTCGCCAGGGCGGTAGTCCTTCGGCAACATTGAGCAGAAGTATCCTCCCCACGCAGCGTCAGCATGGACGAGGAATGATAGGCCTCGTGACTGGAACTGCTTTCGAAGGGCGAGAATGCTGCTAAGGCTGTCCACAGCACCCTCTGCATGAGAAAGATTAGTATCTGGTGTATTGGAAGAGAGTGGACCTTCTGGATCATACCTTCAGTTGTTCCCATGATTCCCACAACTGCGTAGACCGGCTGCTTGCTTTCGAGACTCTCCCAAAGCTGGTTCTCTAGCTCGGTAATATCGAGACGTGCTCCCAGATCCACGGGAATACCGACCACATTCTTGGAACCCAGACCGCAGATAGCTGTAAGAATCCAGATGAATCAGTGTTCGCAACGTTCTTCTCTGTACTTCAAGACTTACCAGCTCCTTTGGGCCATGAGTAGTGTCGAGTGTTGGCCAGCATGTATTGACCGGGCTTGTCGATACCAAATTCCCTTTCCAGATCGTCTTTGCCTGTGGACTGGATGGTGAACTCGTTCATAAGATCGGAGAGGAACTTGTTGGAAATTCCATGTTCCTGGTAAAGTCGATCAGGGAGGTCAAGGACATCAGACGGCTTGAGGTTCAACAATTCCCAGGTCGAAAGATGTGTGAAAAGCTTTCGCTCCCCCTGGCAAGTCTCGACGTGGAAGCTATCCTTGAGAAATTCAAGCTTCTGACCCTCGTCAAATGCCTTGCGAAGGGACAGAGGGTAGAACTTGAGATTTCGAGCTTGAATGCGGTGAGCCATTAAGATAGGTGATGGGTAGATACTATTCATGACTTACCGACCCTAGACCATACAGGTTAGCATGTAAGCCTCAATCATTAAAGAGGTCCTTACCACATGGATTCAAGATTAGCAACCGTGCCATCGCATGTGACGTGACCCCAGCCTGTGGGGGACTCAGTGTTCTCCTCGTTGATGTTGTAGCCAAAGAGGTCGCAGAGCTGCTCCCCGACCTCAATCTCAGCGAGTGTCGAAAGAGGACTCGCTTCAAGCGCGACATTGTTCGGGTTGTAGAGCATCGTCATGAAGTAGCCGAGCAGCGAGGCCATGCTCATATCGGTGCACCTAATACAATGTGATGAGAGTAATCCCAGCGGGAGGTATATGGATGGTCACCAACATGTGCGCCTGGTACCGAGGTGACCAGAAAGGAATGCTTGTTCGGCCAAGAATCTCTGAGGCCTTATCGACTGCATTCCTAAGCTTGTCCTTGGATCTCTTGAAGGCTGCAGATTCCTGCGTTTTCTCGTCGATGAAATCCTACATTTCATCAGAGAGGTTACGAGAAGCGGTGGATTGGAGATGAGACTAACTGCATCATTGTCAAAGCGATAGTCCAGTCTCGCCTGTTTGAGGTTGTTCAAAATGATTTCGATGTTCTCCTTGAAGTATGGCAAGTTCTCTGCCCGAGGCCCAATGAAGTATGATGAGATGATCTGGTGAGACTCATCTTCGGGGACTGTGGCGGCGTCACGCGTAGTATTTTCGAATCCGTTGCTGGAACCCTTGAAGGTTGTTTCAAGGTAAGGATACGACCCGTTCGCAGCGGTGGTCTTGAAAGATGCCATGATGAGGTTTTGGAAGACAGTAAGAAGAATGAGACTGTTTGATTTGGATTCCACGAGAGAGACCCTGAAGTGAGGGATGGAGGTCTATGTATAGCATTTCCACCAAAGTCTGATACGTCCTTCTCTCCCGTATTTTACAAACATTACAACTCGCTGATGACATTTCCGTCTGCCGTGGCATGCCGCTTCAAAGCCACCGCGTCCAGTCTCGGTCCATTCTCGCCAACTTCCACCACGTCCGTCATGTTGTGAGAACCTGCATATCAACGGCAGGACCGTATGAATACGAAGTGCCACTCACAACAAAAGCCTTGAGACAATGTGGTACCAATCTGGCGATGGTCACATTAGTTCAGTTTAGTGTTGCAGCTCATCTCTGATCTGAGAGCTCCTCAATCACTACTCTCACCTATGGTAGGTTTCGGCCGTTTCCATACTTGTATCTTCGAATATTGAACGGGCATGGATATAGTGAAGAACGACCTACTTCAGGTGCCCTGCATATTGTCTCACTAATAGCGAATACCTTGCTGATGTTAGGTGCCCGACAACCCCGCTTGGAGCAGATTTAGATCCAAACGGTTTTCCGTGTCTGTAGGACGCCAAGATACAGATACAGAGAGTCATGGAAATAGACACCAGCAGCGGTTGAGAGCGATTTGTGTCGTTGTGGCAATATGCGTAGGGCAGCAAAGATCATGCCATTTGGCAATCAAATGCATATGGCCGCATGTCGGGAGGCCGGCCGCACGGGTACAGCCGCAGAGCCTAAAGGGGTACAGGGCTAGGGAATGAAGCATTGGCTAATGGGATTCAGCGATCTCCGGCGTGTCTCATGTAGTGTTCAGTTGGACCGACGATCAAAGCGGGGACAATACTCGAGCCGACATCGTTGCATGGCACACCGGTAACCGGTTTCGTGTAAGACCACGATAGTATCATTTAGCGGTGCAAATGTGTGACTAATTTGGTTAGATGTGGACAGAGCTGACATACGATGCGTCACTGTGCCTTCCTCATACGTGGGTGATTCAGATGCACCCCGCTCGTGTTTGCGACTGGAGGCTTTTCATTGTTGAGCTGAGGGTGTTGGGGAAATATGCATGAGGTATCTACTTCAGTACGAGTGCATGGGAAATGGAAGAGCTATCAGGATGAGCTAAGATCAGTGTTTAATTCGAGCAGGTACTCATCGCCCAGGGCGGATGCTAGAGGTCAACACCGAACGCGATCTGAGACAGCATCCCAGCCCGTTCAGAAGTCCACGCGTCCAAGCCTTCACGTTCTTGACCGGTTAGCAGAAAGGCGTTCGGCCCGTGTCCAAGCCAAGTCCCAGAAAGCAAATGGAGATTGAGCTCTGAAATGCCACCATCAGCTCATTGGCTTTCTGATAAGGCGAAGTGGAACGCTGAGCTTTGCTAAATTGCCTCGGTGACAAGCGACAACTTGGCGAGACATAATGGTCAACGAAGTAAAAGCATACTTTACTACACCTGAAAACAGCCAGTCTAAGAGATACCTATCAGCAGTATCATAAACCATATGTCCCATGGCAAAATGTTTGCCCGAGGTGAGGATAGCCGCACTCTTGTTTTGATGCATCAACATCAGTGGTCGATGGCACCATGAAGCTTGCGTTGTTCTCGTACACTTGCCTTTCCAGAATGAATCTATGCTCATCTTAATGAGCGGTTGTTCTGGAGGTGTTCATAGCAAAGATAGACAAGTAGCCTTTCAATTACGCAGGTCAAATTGAAAGATGTAACTCGAGGAATACCGGCAACTTCTGGAACTCATCAATATTGACGCTTTCCTGGCTTCAGAGTATGCGACCCTGGTTTTACAACCGTCGGTGAGACGTAAAGCGTTGAAAGCATATCATGCGGTCGAAAAGCACTCGATTTCACCAAGATGCCTATATTGAAAGCTCATACTCGGAGATTTAGCTTTTGACTTCACGGCGATTTGGAGTGTGCTACATGAATATGGTAGTGTAAGCTCAATGACGTCAAAAGTGAGGGGTTCAAGAGGTATTCTGTGAGAAAACTGCCCGGCACACATGAGCGCCTTACTCCTATTGGTTCCCGAAGAAGAAGAGGGGGAACCAGTCATTCATTGAACAGTTGATCGCGTGTCTGCCAAGGCATCTCGGAACGATTATCTGCTAGTCCCGAGACATTCGAACCGCCCTCTCTTGCATCAGAAACATTCAGATCAAGCTAAAGTACATGGGGATCTTTTACAAAACTTTACGAGCTGAGACCTGCAGAGTTCTCGGTGGTGAAGCGTCGTCTCCAGATCCTGTCATGCCGAATACATTTAAAAAGGACAGTCTTCGCCGTGGTCATGACCCGAGACGTTTTCTACCGTCAAAGACGTTATGCACCATGTAAGCTGAAAGCATTGGGGTATGGAGCTCGCTCACCACTTCAGTGCGTTCCGACATGTACATCCATGGATCCTGATAGCGGCCGTATGACTACGATCGCTTGAGACAGTGGCTTTTCTTGTCGGAAACCCGCAGGAGATGTTCATTTCACATGCTGATCTCTCAACATCCTAGGCGCACACATAGTTCCGCACCGTAGACCTTTGTTAGTGAATGTACCCTCATAACCATCCGTAAGGGCAGAGATCCTGCGCAACTTTCAGCCGTGCATCAGCTTCTCGCTGACATGTCTCAGAGATATGTGACGCTCACAGGCGTGGGGGATCATGAGCGGAGGGGCCGATCAGACTAAGATCTCGATCAAACTTTGCAAGTCCATGATATAAAGCGAAGCAGAAATCCATCAATCCCAATGGATGCGTTGTCATCGTTCACCATAGCCTTGAAGCTATTCTTCGATTCACGTATCCTCACCTAATTATCTCTATCCTCTATCTGTGACCATCGCCATCATGCTCAAGTCACACGTCAGAAAGGATATTGAGACGCTATCTCAATCGGAGCGTGATACTGTGATTCGAGCTTTCGACTACATTGGCAAGCTCAGCCCGGAAGATCCCAACTCGTTCTTCGCTCTCGCCAGCTACCATGGCTTGCCTGGACCTGAGGGAAACTCGCAGAAAATGTACTGCCCTCATGGGAATGTGCTTTTCCCAACTTGGCACAGAGCCTACCTTTTGCGCGTGGAGAAAGCTCTGCAAAGTGCTCCAGGATGTGGACATCTCGCTTTGCCCTACTGGAACCAGACATCTGAGAGCTCTCTGAAAGGTGGACTTCCGTCCATTTTCACGAACAAGAGCTACACCTTTGCAAGCGGTGACACCATCAACAACCCGTTGTACTCCTACACCATGCAGAAGGCCGTGGATGGCCTCAAGTACAGTAGCACCGCCACACACTCGAAGCCTGTTGGTCACACCACTGTTCGTTATCCTTTCTCCGGAAGAGTGGCTTCCGAGGAGGTTGCGGAGGTCAAATCCCGCAACAGCAGCCTCGAAGCGCTGCCACACAAGACGATCACCGGAGCTTTGGATGAAAACATCAGGAAGTGGCTCGCACCGGGATATCTCCCTGGAGTAGCAGAGAACTACCGCCAATCCCTTGAGGCACCGAGTTACACAGTGTTCTCCAACATAGCTTCCGCCCAGGAATGGAACACGAATAATGCGGAAAATCCCCAAGTTCCCAATGTTGTCCCACTTGAGTTGCCTCACAACTCTATGCATTTGGCCATTGGTGGCTTCCAAGTCCCAGGTGCCCCATCTGTCCACGCGGCTTCGCAGGGCGATATGGGGGAGAATGAGACGGCAGCTTTCGACCCCATATTCTACTTCCACCATTGCTTCATTGACTACATGTTCTGGATGTGGCAGGACCAGCACGGCCAGAAGGATCATCTCGACATTACCCCCGGCATGCAGGGCACCAAGGGGGCTGACATTGACACGCCACTCGAACCATTCACCATGACAGATCCCAATACGGGAACCGAGCGATGGATGACCTCGAAGGTGAGTAATTCCATACTTGTTCCGGTCCGTGTATATGACTAACAAGATCAGGACGTAATCGACACCGTCAAGCTTGGCTACGACTATGCAAAGCCCCAGTGGCAGAAATTTAATGTAACCGTTCGAGAAGCCGACGCGGTCAACGCCCCGAAGCTGACTGTAAGCGGAATCAATCGGTCCAAGATTCGTGGATCCTTCATCGTCTCCACATGGGTGAAAGGACAGAATGGGGAGCCTGAGAAGGTTATTGACATCAAGCCTATTTTGAGCCGATGGGAAGTCGACAGCTGCGAGAACTGCCAGAACTATCTGGATGTGAGATCTCACACACAGTTGACCAAATTCACCGAGGAAGAGATCGAGGACATGGACTTCTTCGCTCTGGTGCATACAAGAGAGCACCCTGATGGCATCGACACAATTGATGGGCGACCTATTGAGGTTGAGTTGGGCGCGCTGAGGGGTTGGATGTAGGATGTTGCTTTGGCGCTACCAGAAGCGCACCGCGGCTCTCAATATGCTGGATCACCCAGAGAGCTGCCGGTCGGAGATGGAGAAAGTTTCCTCGTAGCTTGGTAGTAGTAGTTTGCTATTGAAGCCAATCCACTCTTTCGTCTTTCATCTTGTTCAAATCCTTCTGTTCGACCCTCCCCGTGAAGGAAGCTGTGCGCGATATGGATCGCATTGGTCAGGAAATGAATATCATTTCGGTTATGTTATTCCGGGCGACCTTGACCTGCGACAAAAGATCATATCCTCGGCTGCGGGGTTACCGGCAGGAACTGTATAGCTGAGACTTGTGCTTGATGCAGTGTAAGCAGCAGTGGCGTGTTGAGGTACATCCAATCTTGAATGAGAGGCCGCATCAGGTCTCAGGTGTATGCCATGTCCTAGATAAGGTGACGCAACCTCTTGCGAACTTGTATGACAACGAATAGCTCACTAAATGCATATTCTAAGAAATAGGTAGCTGCCTGAATACCATTCTTCTCGGTTTCATTACGGAGCATGGCTTCTAAGTCCTCAATCGGCCCTCGAGT